ATTATTTTGAAAGTATCAAGGTCAATTTGTATAAGCATGTCAAGAGAAATTAATTAAGTTGGCAGAAAGTCTTTAGATGCCTAACATGATATAAGTAATAGATGGAGGTCCATTTGTGTTTTTTCCCTTATAGATAATTTTAATTTTAATTGTCAAGGAGATAAAAAAACAGAGAGAAAAGAATGGCGCACACTGTACATGGGTAGGGAGGGAGGGAGGTTTGGGATGTTTTTCTAAATGATTAATCTAACAGACTAAAATAATGTGTCAGATGTTTATATTGAAACCGATGGTCAGATGTTTTATTTTCTTGTCAGAATTTTATTAGGATTTTCTTTGATTTAAGAGAACAACATAATATCTTAAGAGCATTTATAAGATGTGTAATCGACTTTTAACACTGTATGCCGCAAAGGAGGGAGGGAAGAAGGTTTAGGGTGTTCTTTTTTTAAAAAAAAATATAGATTTAATGACCTAATATAATGTGTCAATTAATCCATTGAAAAAATGTGTCCATCGATTTATGTCATATCTAATGGTTGGGTTTTTTTTTTCCAAAATTTCTAAGATTTTTCTCTAATTCAAGAATGTCATATAGCAGCTTAGAGGCATTTATAATATATTTAATGGATTTTAACACCACACGGGGATGGGGAGGGAGCGAGGGAGAGAGATTTGGGTTTTTTTCTTATTAAAAAACTAACAAATCGATAGCCAAATGTTTTGTTCTTTTTTTAAGATTTTTTAGTATTTTATTTAATTTAATAGCACCACGTAGCAGTTTAGAGTCATTTGTAGGATATTTAGAGTCACAGAGCGAGAGCTGCTAGACCTAATAGGTGGAGGTCTCTTTGTGATTTTTTAATGTAAAAATAATTTTGATTATAATTTCTCAAGAACATAGCTTGTTGGTATGTATGTGATGGGAGGTTCGGAATGTGTGCTTTTTTAAAAAAAAATCTAACCTTCTAGTATAAAAATAATAGATCACTGATTTAAATAAAAATCAATGGTTGGATTAGAGTGCCACTTGGCGACCTAGGAGCGTTTGTAATGTACCACTTGGCGAATTAAAAGTATTTGTAAGATATTTAATGAAATTTTATATATAATTGTCTTTTTTTTAAAATTTCTAAGATTTTCTTTAATTTAAGTATGTGATATAGTAGCTTAGAGGTGTTTATAAAATGTTTAATGGATTTTAACACCACACAGGGGTGGGGAGGGAGGGAGAGAGGTTTGGTTTTTTTTATTAAAAAACTAACAAATCGATAGCCAAATGTTTTGTTCTTTTTTAAGATTTTCTAGCATTTTATTTAATTTAATAGCACCACGTAGTAGTTTAGAGGTATTTGTAGAATATTTAGAGTCACAGAGTAAGAGTTGCTAGACCTAATAGGTGGAGGTCTCTTTGTGATTTTTTTAATGTAAAAATAATTTTGATTATGATTTCTCATGAACATAGCTCGTTGGTACGTACGTGACGGGAGGTTCGGAATGTGTGCTTTTTTAAAAAAAAAATCTAACCTTCTAATATAAAAATAATAGATCACCGATTTAAATAAAAATCGATGGTTGGATTAGAGTGCACTTGATGACCTAGGAGCATTTGTAAGGTACCACTTGGCGAATTAGAAGTATTTGTAAGATGTTTAATGAACTTTTATTATATAATTGTCTTTTTTTGAAATTTGTAAGATTTTATTTAATTTAAGTATGTGACATAGTAGCTTAGAGATGTTTACAAAATGTTTAATGGATTTTAACACTGCAAGGGGTGGGGAGGGAGGGAGAGAGGTTTGGGATTTTTTTATTAAAAAATCTAACAACTTAAATACATCAGTTTAAGTAGAAATCGATGGTACGTTGCTTTGTATTATTTAAGATTTTCTAATACTTTCTCTAATTTAATAGTACACGTAGCGATTTAGAAATAGGGAGAGCTTCTAAACCTAGTAGTTGGTCTATTTGTGTTTTTTTACCTGTAAAAGTATTTTTTTTATTTTCTCATTAAATAGAAAATAACACATGAATGAAAATATGGAAAGACAAGAGGGAAGTACGTACAGTACATACGCACGTACGTTCGACATTACGTACGTTGGTTCCGTATATGATGGTTCCGGATGTTCTTTTTTCTTTATAAAATAGATCTAAGTAAATCCAACCATCCAAAATAATGGGTGCACTAATATAAGTAAAAATAGATGGTCAGATTTTTCTTATTATTATGGTGCCACTTGGCGATTTGAGAGTGGTTCCGTATATGATGGTTCCGGATGTTCTTTTTTCTTTATAAAATAGATCTAAGTAAATCCAACCATCCAAAATAATGGGTGCACTAATATAAGTAAAAATAGATGGTCAGATTTTTCTTATTATTATGGTGCCACTTGGCGATTTGAGAGTGTTTAGAGGGTGCCACTTGGCGGTTTGGAAGCGTTTATAGGAAGTTTAATGGACTTTTAGTATATAATAGATAGATAGATAGATTGGCGATTTGGGAGTGTTTATAGGGTGCCACTTTGCGGTTTGGGAGCGTTTATGGGAAGTTTAATGGACTTTTAGTATATAATAGATTTAAAGACAAATATAGTAATATTTAGAGTCACAGAGCGAGAGCTGCTAGACCTAATAGGTGGAGGTCTCTTTGTGATTTTTTAATGTAAAAATAATTTTGATTATAATTTCTCAAGAACATAGCTTGTTGGTATGTATGTGATGGGAGGTTCGGAATGTGTGCTTTTTTAAAAAAAAATCTAACCTTCTAGTATAAAAATAATAGATCACTGATTTAAATAAAAATCAATGGTTGGATTAGAGTGCCACTTGGCGACCTAGGAGCGTTTGTAATGTACCACTTGGCGAATTAAAAGTATTTGTAAGATATTTAATGAAATTTTATATATAATTGTCTTTTTTTAAAAATTTCTAAGATTTTCTTTAATTTAAGTATGTGATATAGTAGCTTAGAGGTGTTTATAAAATGTTTAATGGATTTTAACACCACACAGGGGTGGGGAGGGAGGGAGAGAGGTTTGGTTTTTTTTATTAAAAAACTAACAAATCGATAGCCAAATGTTTTGTTCTTTTTTAAGATTTTCTAGCATTTTATTTAATTTAATAGCACCACGTAGTAGTTTAGAGGTATTTGTAGAATATTTAGAGTCACAGAGTAAGAGTTGCTAGACCTAATAGGTGGAGGTCTCTTTGTGATTTTTTTAATGTAAAAATAATTTTGATTATGATTTCTCATGAACATAGCTCGTTGGTACGTACGTGACGGGAGGTTCGGAATGTGTGCTTTTTTAAAAAAAAAATCTAACCTTCTAATATAAAAATAATAGATCACCGATTTAAATAAAAATCGATGGTTGGATTAGAGTGCACTTGACGACCTAGGAGCATTTGTAAGGTACCACTTGGCGAATTAGAAGTATTTGTAAGATGTTTAATGAACTTTTATTATATAATTGTCTTTTTTTGAAATTTCTAAGATTTTATTTAATTTAAGTATGTGACATAGTAGCTTATAGATGTTTACAAAATGTTTAATGGATTTTAACACTGCAAGGGGTGGGGAGGGAGGGAGAGAGGTTTGGGATTTTTTTATTAAAAAATCTAACAACTTAAATACATCAGTTTAAGTAGAAATCGATGGTCCGTTGCTTTGTATTATTTAAGATTTTCTAATACTTTCTCTAATTTAATAGTACACGTAGCGATTTAGAAATAGGGAGAGCTTCTAAACCTAGTAGTTGGTCTATTTGTGTTTTTTTACCTGTAAAAGTATTTTTTTTATTTTCTCATTAAATAGAAAATAACACATGAATGAAAATATGGAAAGACAAGAGGGAAGTACGTACAGTACATACGCACGTACGTTCGACATTACGTACGTTGGTTCCGTATATGATGGTTCCGGATGTTCTTTTTTCTTTATAAAATAGATCTAAGTAAATCCAACCATCCAAAAAATAATGGGTGCACTAATATAAGTAAAAATAGATGGTCAGATTTTTCTTATTATTATGGTGCCACTTGGCGATTTGAGAGTGTTTAGAGGGTGCCACTTGGCGGTTTGGGAGCGTTTATAGGAAGTTTAATGGACTTTTAGTATATAATAGATAGATAGATAGATAGATAGATAGATTGGCGATTTGGGAGTGTTTATAGGGTGCCACTTTGCAGTTTGGGAGCGTTTATGGGAAGTATAATGGACTTTTAGTATATAATAGATTTAAAGACAAATATAGTAATATTTGCATTACCAAATTAGTTGTATTAAATTAATAATTAAATATATTTTTCTAATAAATTTATATTGGGTCAAAAATATTACTATTTTTTTTCTAAAAACTTAGTTAAATTTAAAGCAGTCTGACTTTGATCTGAAACGGAGGGAGTACTAGTATCTTACTTCAATTGCGATAGGAAAAACTAATAGAAAAAAATATAGAAATTAAAATAGTATACTTATCAAATCCTATAAGAATAAAAAAAATACAGTAAAGAGAACAGGAGTCCTCCTTTGATAATGCCCAGAGAGAAACAAAGGAAAGTTCAAAAAAAAAAAAGTCACACCTCTTGTTATTTATAGTATGCAACATTTTCTACAGAAAATAAATTATCTTTAATGATGTTCTAAATTACTTATTTGTAGATGAAAGAGGTGGTACTTTATAGCCGTATCAACATCATGAGATAAATAATATTGACCATCCGCTAGTCTGAAATTGTCATATAGTACTACAAGTACAATGACAAAATGTTCACAGCTGTGAACTACGCTGGTTACAGGTTTACTTCGATCAAATCTAAGAACGTGTCACGGAACCACCGATGGCGACACTATTGCGTAAACTCTAGATCATCACTCAACATTAAGCAATCAATCAAATCTACCCCTTTTTACGTATACAAATTCCCTCCATTAGTGCATGACAAAGTGATAAAGTTGTACTTATATTTCATACTCATTTATTTTTGACGAGGCAGTTTCTCTCTCTGTCGCTGTAAATTAAACGAGGCTTCCACTTGTAACGAAAGCGAGAGGGAGAGGGAGGAAGGCCCAAGGCGACAACGTATTCGAGCTGGTGCCCCCCCAATAATACCACTCCAATTCGCAATTTGGAATCGAATTAGAATTTTTCGGATTAGCCGCATCGCATCGCTCCCCTCGCCTCTCCCCTTCAATCCCCCCACGCCACCACGTCGTCGCTGATCGGAAACCGATCGGCGATTCACCAACCGCCTCCGCGTCGGCGGTGGCCGCCGCCGCTGCCGTGCGGGAGCGGGGGATTCCCGTGGCGGTTGCATGTATGCGGGAGGGGAGAAGAGAACCAATGGGGGATTGGATGGTGAGGGAGCGGGAGCGGGAGGGGAAGGAAGAGGGGCGCTTCGCCGGCGGAGGCAGCCGCCCACCTCCGGCTCGGCCGCGTCGTCCTCCTACCCGTCCACCTCCGGCTCGGCCGGGTCGTCTTCATCCGGCAGGAGGGTGGAGGAGGAGGAGCAAGGGGGCGGCGGCGGCGGAAGGAAACAGGGGAGGCGGAGGAAGGCGGTCGCGAGGGCGATCCGGGAGAGGCTGCCCGCGGCGGTGGCCTGCTGGGGCAACGGCGCGGTGGTTGAGGGGATCGGGGGCAGGAGCGGGAGGAGGAGCCGGAGGGAGAGACCGGGCGATGACGGTGGCGGCGAGGACAACGCGGGCGCCGCCGCGAGGGCTCCCGCGGCGGCGTGGTGCTGCGTGTGCCCCGACGAAGAGTGCCGGCTGGAGGCGAACCCGAGCGCCAACGGCAAGGAGGACCCGGGCCTCCGCGCCCTCCTCGAGAACAACGACTTCTTCTCCGACGACTGCAACCCGCACGCCGCCGCCGCCTTCCCCGAGCCCGGCGACCGCTCCAATTAGGTGCCATTGATCCCATTCCATCCAATTACCCATCATCATCACCACACACATTTCTGTACACAGTTTTACAGAAAAAGAAGAAGAGGATTTTTCTTTTGTTTTATTCCATTCGGAGCTGTGATGAGGTGTCTGATTGCGTTTCTTGATTCCTTTCCCCTGATTCTTCCTGTACTTTCTCTGTCACTGGTTGTATGTGTACTACTGTGATGGCAGGCGTGGTCATGAAGTGGAATGAAATCAATGGATCGGCATGGATTTTCTTGGTTTTGTTCTGTAGCCATTTGTGCGTTACTGTGTTCCATGTCAGAGGTTAGTGTGCTGCAGGCTGCAGCACTGATGACTCTGCATTGATTATCTATGATAACAAGTGTCACAGGCAATACTTATCCCAAAATAAATTTAGTATAGAATGAAACGATATTAGTCCGATGAATTTTTATGGGCACTTATCTAAATTTGTTATAGGTAATGTTTCATCCTATTTTAATTGGTTTATATTGGAATAGAAGAAGTACACATCATTTTTCCACTCTTCTGTGTTTAAAGCTCTAGTCCAATTGTGATGCACTGAGCCACTGATGCCTGTCATTAGAGGGGCTCACAGGTCAGAGCTTGGAATCAAGGACTGCTACTATTCAAAAAAACCCAACCAATTTTGAAATAAACCAACTTTTATATATAAATTTAAACATAAACCATGTCACGCTGGCTGTATAAAGATTAACATATTTTTTTGGGATAGTAAAGAGTAGTGAGTGTATCTGCGTATGTTTCGTCCGTGTGCCGAGAAAGTTGGCAGGTGTAGTACAACACTTGAAAGAGAGGGGCACCACAAAGTGTGGCAGGTGACTTTGGTAGAGGTGAAATGTGGTGGCCTTGTGCTTGTCCTCTACTAGCTAGTACCACCAATCTACCACGAAGGATTGGAATGAAGAGTGCAACAACCGATTGCTTTTTCTCCTGAAGGCGATTGCAGACCATCCGGTCCGGCTGCTCATTTTATCATTTTCCTGACAAATCGGCCCCTCACTCTCTTTCTCGTTGTCAGGATTTTTGACCATATCTTTCCTACTACAGGTTGTCAAGTTCACTTCTTATTAGTTCTTCCAAAGTTTGCTTTTGGATCACCTTGCGATGGAAATAGCCAAAGAGGTCTCTTGTCGCCACGAGAAGCTCATGCTGTTGAGACTTTTTGATGGGGGGTGCAAGCGCCACATCAGCAGAAGAACACCACATATTGCTCATGAAAAAATCATGACTATCAGTCACGCTTTGTATTATTATACGTGTGGTAAATCAAAATTGTCGTCCGAGTATGGCTCCAACAAAATACATCTTTGGATCAGTCTGATTTAATCTGATAGCGTAGCTTAGCTAGATAGAAAGGGAAGGCATGGAAAGGTCTTTCCATCACAAGCTGTAGCTCATGTTGCTGAAATGGATGGTGCAAGCGCCAGATCAGCAAAGAAGCAGCACCACATAGTCACGATCGAAATCGGGCGTAAACATAAAATTGGTACTATTCGCTATATGTCATTGTCTGGAAATATGACCACTAGTATTAAAGGCTAAATGCGAGGACGATGCGGAAAGCTGTCTCGATTTTTTTCCCCATCACATAAACAGGACGTATCATGCATGAAATGCCTTTATCAAATGATATCAGCCAGCGCAAATATTGTGAATTGTGTTTGATGGTTAAATGGCGGCACCTATCGACATAATACCAGCACGGTATAAACCTAGAATATCGATCTTATTTCTTCTTTCAAGGAAAGAAAATATATGTACTTGTGTGGATTCTACAACTGAAGTCTCAAAATTAATTCAATGGCCTTATATTTAATTAGCCAAGAGCTTTGGCATATACCATAGCAGATTAGCAGATGCACATACAACTGACGAGGTTAAACTACTCCCTCATTAGGTCTTCTGTACCAACTATACCAAACACAAATTTTGTTGACCAACTTCTAGCACAAACAAGCTATAACCTAAGTAAATCAAAGTTAAGTTTTTTTTTCAAGACCGTAGACCAAAGTTACTCAATCCTAGATCATATATTATTTGGTACAATCTTAACATTAATTGTTAGACGCCTAAGAGTACTACTCCCCCCGTCCCAAAATATAAGTATTTTTTTATCTCGACGCAGTTTTCGAGATGCTACTTTGACCAATAATATCTATAAAAATAAGATGTTTTGAATAAAAAGAGCAATAAATCTAGTAACATCAATGTTACATGATTGATTTTTTTTTATTTTTTTGCTATTAATAATCAAAGTTTAAAATGTTTGACTTGACACTATGGTAAAATTGTTTATATTTTGAGACGGAGGGAGTAAAATATATTTGCTAAGATAGCTGGTAATGCTAATTATCTAGTGATGGATGCCTTGAGCCCTACAAGTTAGTAGTAAGATGTTTCTTAGTTGAGGACTACTATTGTTTAACCATACTGTCTAACGACGAAAAGTGAGCATCGACTAGTTAGATTTCTTATGATAGAATCAGACGTATCGATCAATAGTGAGGCGCTCCACAGTGACTTCTTTAATATTAAAATATGTTGTCGCAGTCTTTTGGAGCTGCTCAAAAGGTAGAGTATGCTCGTGTGCGTTTATAGGGGTAAATGTATGCGTGTTGTGGTTTCTTAAGAAAAACCATTTTTTTTAATTTATGTAATAAAATATTTAAAAAATATTTTTTGGTTTCAAAGTTTTACAAATCTACACTTTTAACGCTCTCTGGGAGAGCTTTATTTTTTATGACATGACACATGCCCATTGGTGTGTTGTAACGGCCGCGTGAATATTTTACACATGAACCCCTTTGCAGCCCTCTAAGAGGGCGAGAAGGAGGCTGCCTGTAAAAATAGCGACCTACGACATTTTGCAAGTGGCTCCCTTACAACCAGCCCTCTAAGAGGATGATAAGGGGCTGCCTATTAGAAAACTAGTTTTGAAGGACGACAAATGGTCAGCCCCAGTTGTTTTGCAAGCGGTCCCCTTTAGCCCTTTGGGAATGCAGCAAGGGGCTGATTGCAAAATGGCTAGCTGGCCTTTATGTGGATGTTAGAAAACGCACATGTGCCATGTCAAAAAAAATGTCCTTTGGAAAAGCACATTTTGCAAGTGGCCACCTTACAGTCAGCCCTATAGGAGGACGATAAGGGACCTACTTATTAGAAAACTAGGTTTGAAAGGCAACAAATGGCCAACCCCAGTTGTTTTGCAAGCGGTCTCCTTTAGCCCTTTGGGAATATGGCAAAGGGTTGACTGCAAAATGGCTAGCTGATCTTGATGTGGATGTTAGAAAACGCACATGTGCCATGTCAAAAAAAAAGTCCTTTGGAAAAGCGTTTTTAAAAAACACCCTTTTAGAGGATATTAGGGGTAAGATTTGTAAAACTTTGAAAAAATATTTTTTAAATATCTTAATAAATAAAATTATAAATTAAGAAAAATTTAAAAAAAAAACGTCGCCATCTAATTACGGTACAATTTTGCTATATATTTGTCGACAAATTTTCCCACAAAAATTTGACAGATGTAATTACAGTACAATCTAGTATAATTACACTGTAACTTGCATGTAATTACACTGTAACTATAATGTAACTTGTACGTAACTTTAAAAAATCTCTCCATAACATGTTATTTTGGTAAAATGGAGGTCGTGGGAACAAATTCTTTCACATAGGTGTGTGCTATGATTTTTTTTCTTCCTCACCGAAATAAATCTTGTAATAGATCTAACGATTCAAAACTACGTGAAACTTACATATAAGTTACACTGTAGTTACATGCAAGTTACAGTGTAATTACATACTCCCTCTGTTTTTAATAGATGACGCCGTTGACTTTTTCTCACATGTTTGACCATTCGTCTTATTCAAAAATTTTATGCAAATGTATAAGATATAAATCACACTTAAAGTAATATGAGTGATAAAACAACTCATAACAAAATAAATTATAATTACGTAAATTTTTTGAAAAAGACGAATGATCAAACATGTGAGAAAAAGTCAACGGCGTCATCTATTAAAAAACGGAGGTAGTATAAGTTACAGTGTAATTACACTACGATTATACTATAATTACATCTATCAAATTTTTAGGAGAAAATTTGTCGGCAAATGTAAAGGTGGTCCCCCATGGTACCATGGGCCGGCCCATTGGCACCACTTCAAACCATGTGGGTCACGTGGTCTGGGTTCCTAACTTCCTATTGGGCTTCTGCCTTAGCCCATGGGCTAGGCCTACTAATTGCTCTCTTTGTTCTCAACTCTCCTCCAGCGCGAGAGCTGCTCTCTCTTGCTCGTAGCGAGGTCGCAGATCCTCACCGCCGGCGATCCCCCGCCTCCGTTTCGGTACCGCCGCCGCCGCCGCCGCGAGAGAGGGGAGCAGAATGTTGCAGTGCGTCTTCCTCCTCTCTGATTCCGGGTAATTCCCCTCCCCGCCATCCCCGTATTCCTCCTCGCATCGATTCCTCCCCTCTGTCGCCGGATCTGTCCTGACCTGATTTTGTGACTGAACACAATTTTTTCGGCATGGCAGGGAGGTGATGGTGGAGAAGCAGATGACGGCGCACCGCGTGGACCGCGGCATCTGCGGCTGGTTCTGGGACTACGTGCTCGCCCACGCCGCCGGCGACGCTTCCAAGGTTGATGTTCGGCTCTTCCTCAGGGCTGTTGCTTTCGGATTTTCGAGCTTTGATTTGTTGTGATGCAGTGCTGCTTTAGCTGTTAGATTTTGATGGGGGAGCTCTGCTGATTATGTTGCTTTGATTTTTTGGAAGGTCTTGCAGGTGGTGGTCTCACCGACGCATTACTTGTTTCAAGTTTATCGAAATGGGGTGACATTCTTGGCATGCACCCAAGTGGAGATGCCCCCGTTGTTGGCTATCGAGGTATGAGTTTTATCCTCTTAGCTTCTCCTTTTTACTTGCTTGGGAGCTCTGTGATGGTAGTAAAATCAGCAGTACAGCATAATTCAGTTGCTGAAGATAGCTAGTTTGAACTAGGGTAGAGTTGCAGAGATCACTTGTTATTTGTTGCTGAGCATAGTGAATGCTTTGATACTACTCACACTTTCAGCAAGAATAATTGTGAAATCAATACTAGTCATACTGGTGGGTTTTGCCTAGAATCGGTATTTCTAGAACTTTGATAATATCTATTAAGATCCTGGAATCTATATAATTATATATTATCAAATATGCTTTGCATTTGGATGTCAGCTTGAACAATGTTCTCCATTCTGGTATGCGTAAAACATGTAATTTTCAGAATTTTTCTTTGGAATCATGTTTTGCATATTATCAAAGTTTGTTGTCATGCTTGAAAGCTTCTTGAAGGTATGAAATGATGTGTTCAACAACTTTGGAACTTTAGAAGCATTATCAGTAAAAACAGGCAACTAACTACAAAATTGTTGTCACTATCATAATTGTCCTACCAATCTACCATGAAACATGCACATTGCAGTAATTTGCTAAAGTAATTTATGATGAAATGCCAAGAACCATGGCTGACTACAGGTTTTGACTTTTGCTCTTTTTTATGGTTCTGTGAATATGATTTGCGACTTCCAGTTTCTCTCACGGGTTGCTGATGTCCTAACTGACTATCTTGGAGATTTAAATGAAGACATAATCAAAGACAACTTCGTACTTGTGTATCAGGTCTATTTTCATATGCTCTTCTATGTGACATCACATAATAACTTTGCAGCTGGTTGCCTATTATATTATTTTCACCTTGTTCTAGTCTTCTGAAATTTGAAAACTAGTGCAAATATTTGGATGATATTACAGTGCCACTTTACTTTATTGCTGGAAGATTTCTTGTCAAACTATGTCAGACAGGTTTTAAATCTCTCTATATACAGATTTTGGACACAGTTGTGTACCATGGTACAAGTTCAAAACTAGGATATCATTCTTAGTCTCAGTTTGTGGTGTTTGTGCTGCGCTGTGTTTTTTTTATGTTGCTATGTAAATAAAAAAGTATAATTGTTATAGTAAATTTACATATCAAATTAAGGTTAGACAAAATATATTATTCAGCTACTATGCCATCCCACTTGTTCCATAACAATGATATTATTGTTTGCAACACAGATAAAAAGAAATACTTGCTCTGTATTACAACTTATCTAATTGATACTTCAACTGCCAGTGCGACGAACTTTACAAGTACTTATCTATACTTGTTAGCAATAATTTCTACTGTAATGTACGTGGATTGATCAAGACACTTTGTTGTTTTCATTCTATTGATATGTGAAACATCGATCTAGACTGCATGCTGCAGTCTAAATATCAGCATATTTAGTTGCTTGTGAAGACCATGATAGGCAAATTTTATAATATTCATGTTTGTGTATTCTCTAAAATATAATACTTGTATGAGTGCAGATTTTAGATGAGATGATGGACAACGGTTTTCCACTCACTACTGAGCCAAACATCTTGAAAGAGATGATTGCCCCACCAAATATTGTCAGCAAAATGTTGAATGTTGTGACTGGTAAGAGTTCTAATCTTGGTAACAAACTTCCAGATGCAGCTGCTTCTTTTGTACCATGGAGAACAACTGTTGTCAAGGATGCAAGTAATGAAGTCTATGTTAACATAGTTGAAGAACTAGATGCATGTGTAAACAGGTACTTTCACCTTGGCCTTTTCGATATTCCAAATATATTTCACTAAATCTGTAAATTTGAGTTTTAGACCCTAGATTCATGCCTGAACAGTTTTTTCATCTATTAATATCTGCAGGAAGCTATTACTGAAATCTATATAGCATATTCAAACTTTTCACTACTGTGATCTAGTTCATGCCCATTAATTGTCATAGCAGTAAGGATCCCAACGAAACCATGTCTGTGAATAAACACAATGTAGCTCGTTTCTGGAGAGATCCAACCATCTGTCATGTGCGCACATGACACCATCTGATCTTGTTACCTTAGGACATGCACCATAGTGAAAGAATGTTTTTGATGTCTGACATCCCAGTAAATTTTATTTACAGAGAAGGAGCTCTAGTGAAATGTGAAGCATATGGTAAAATTCAAGTAAATTCTAGCCTTCCAGGTGTACCAGAACTGACCTTGTCATTCTCTAATCCTACAATTATCAACGATGTGAGGTTTCACCCTTGTGTCCGATTCAGACCTTGGGAGTCCAATCAGATCCTTTCGTTTGTTCCCCCTGACGGGCAGTTCGAGCTCATGAGTTACAGGTGCATAAATATTTGCTCTCTTATTTTTCCTTCTGTTTCTCTCTCTGTTGGCTATGTTTGGCTTGTCTGTTTTATTTTTACTCATTATTTAATCATGAATGACCAGAGTTAAGAAATTGAAGACCACACCAATTTATGTGAAACCTCAGTTAACATCAGATTCGGGGAATTGCCGTGTCAATGTGATGGTGGGGATTAAAAATGATCCTGGGAAAACTATTGATTCTATAACAGTGCAGTTTCGATTGCCCCCACTTATTGCTTCTGCTGATTTGACTGCAAACTATGGCACAGTTGATATTCTTGCTGACCAGGTCAATACCTTCTTTCCCCATCAGTACTGTAACTTTGATTCATGCCTCCTATTCTATCAGTAGTCATGCATGTAGCTAGGATCTGCGTTCTCAGTAAACGCAAGATTGGGGCTTGAATGCTTTTTCTTTTTTGGCAAATGTCAGTTATTTATACTATACTTTGTATCACCACACATAGGTTTTTTATGCTCTACATATATTGCTTGCATAATACATGTTTCTTTCTTTATGCAGACCTGCTTTTGGACAATAGGGCAGATTCCAAAAGACAAAGCCCCGTCTCTCTCTGGGAATTTACGCCTTGAAGAAGGGCTTACTCATTTGCATACATTCCCAACGTTTGAGGTGAAATTCAAGATTATGGGGGTTGCACTATCTGGGCTTCAAATTGATAAGCTGGAAGTCAAAAACACTCCCAATGCTCCTTACAAAGGTTTTCGAGCCCAGACTCAAGCCGGAAGGTATGAGGTCAGATCTTAAGTTTCTGTGTAATTCACAGCTGTTGTCTGCACGTCGAAACCAACATGATACCATAACCCCGGGGGGTGGGCTGGCAAGGCATCACGATCAGTCAGTTCGTCCATGGGCAGTCTGCTCCCTAGATCAATCTTTCTTCTCCTCGTCGGCAAAGCCACAGAATCTTCGCTGTGTTTATGAAGGCGAAGATTTCTTCGTATAGATGTTCAGTGCCTGAGATCAAGATTTTGAGTTCTGCCATATCCCTTCTGTTCACCATCCATTTCACTGAGTAAATCTGTTAATGTTGAGTATTTCCTTTGAACTACACATTGAAAAGCGGTGGGTGTTTTTGAAGTGAATAGGTTTTGAACCCCCAACTCCTCAACAACCAGGGCTATTATTTCCATGGGCGTCATAGCTGTTGTGTTTGCATTTGTAATTTGTAAACAGCTGTACAAAAATTAGCAGGTGCCTGTAACTCTTATTTAAAGGAAAAATACTACAACTAGTTTAGATGTGATCTGCAAGCGAAATTGTCTGTGCAAAGGGTGCTCCAACTTACAGTCATATGCATAGTCAATCACCTTGACTTAGTATCAGTTCTACTGGAGCATTCTCGAAAGAAAGAACAAGTACTGAACGCGTGGAAACTTCTTTAATAACCCTAAAACTTCTCAGGTGAGTGGTTTCAGAAAATCCAAATGGTGATGATGGTAAATCACACGAGAGATTCAGGTATCAGTCGTACCGTATGGCCTACAACATATCAGCCCTTGCTAAAATTTAAAACTTAATTTTAGAGTTGACTTGCTTCATTTTTATCAATAGTTTTTGTCGCTAAGAACATGTATAAGAGTTTTATCTATAAATTATTTTTTTCGCTAATAAGCTATGCAACATGTAATCAACTTTCGCCAATCGATAGTGTTGCATGTCTTAACTAGAGATACTCCTATCTATACTCTCACTGTTCCACACTACAAGAGGTTCAATAGCAAGTTATAAACCAGCTATAATCACATATCGAGAAGAAAAGAGAAGAGAGAAGAAAGTGGACTATAGATTTGTAGCCGACTGCAACACGGATTCCAAGACATTATGTGTGCATAAGAGGTGGGACCAAGGTATTAATGGTGTAGTATATTTTTATAGTTAACTATTGTATGAATAGGCTATTAGATTAGCTATAGATGATTTGGAGCCAACAGTTGGCTATACTATTAAACTTGCTCTAAGTTTTGGCCTATCTAGATTCACTAACATCCATATAAATTTAGATTCATATATAAAGAAAATACATTAATTCATACACGAATGTATTCAAAACCTAAAACGTCTCTATTCAAAACACAAAATGTCCGCAATTTGAAACAGAAGGAGTAACAAATACTACCACTCTGTTTTCTACCTAATTATACATCATAACACTTATTAGTGATATAACATAATTTATGATAAAACTTATATATACGTGTATTCTCAACAACTTCGGGCCCATTTGAATTGTAGGATTGGAAGAACAGAGGAATATAAAAAACACATGATTTTTACAGGAATACAAGTTTAAAATAGAGGAATGCAAAACATAGAAAAAGCATAAGAATTGCCGTTTGATTGGACCGCAGGAAAAATATAGGAATCGAATAGGAGAGATAGAATCAGAGGAAATTTTCCAAGATGTTGAAGCTCTTGCTAAGTTTTCTTCAAAATCTACCTTCAATGAGGGCTCATTCAGTTTAGAGGAATTTCATAGGATTATTGTAGGAATTAAAACCTTAGGATTTTTTTTCCTATATGCATCATTCGTTTCATAGGAATGGACTACCAAATTCCTAAGGATTGTGCTCTTGCAAGTTTATTCCATAGGATTCTTAGCATGAAGTGAGACATCTTCGAAAAATCCCTAAGAAATGAAGTGCATGTGACATCCCAATCTTTTTAGGGCTTATTCGTCCTTTGGAATGGGTACTATACTGTCATTCGTTTCAAAGGAATGCACCAAATGAAAAATTCCTATCCCTCTACTTTTTTAAGGGAAAACAAAGGAAAAAAAACAATCCACTCCAACCCAATGTTTTCAATCCTTTGGATTGTTTGCTACACAACCATAGGAAAATTTCCTATGTTTTTCAATCCTTAGGTTTGCACATGCATTACTATACTATTCCTACGTTTTGAAAATCCTACAAACCGAATCAGCCCTACTTTTTTATTCTTTTAATTTGGAAATCTAATGAACCGAATAAGCCCTAAGTTATTCTATAGGAATTTCATAGGATTTAGAAAACTACAATCATTTGAATCATATGGCCGCGTACGAAAAATTAAAATTCTTGAGAGGATTTGAATCCTATAAAATTCCTACATAAATCTTAAAAGCTAATGCTAAAAAGTAAAGTACACTTATTTTCCTAAGAAAAATTAAAATCAACTTAGACCATGTTTGTTTCAACTTAAGATTACTGTGCCAGGCTACTATAAGTTATATTATAATAAACTGATATAAAATAAGCTGATAGTTCTTTGTTACTCTGAATTATTAGTTGTTTGTTACTAAATGTTAGCCACCCAATAATATTCGGAGTTGCTAGAAATATGGCGCCATATGTTACAGTCGATTTTTTTTCAGCCACTTACACAGTAGTTACACCTCATTTACACACACTTACATATGTAATTGGTATGTAATTTTCGAATTTACATATGTAATTTTAGTACTTACATATGTAATTTTGAGACTTACATTGTAAATACACTAAAATTACATATGTAATTTAAGGACTTACAATGTAAATACATGCCGACTATTTTTTGATGAAAAATATGGCGCTATAAATATAGCTACACCCATAATATTTAAAAAACACCTTTATAGTGGTAATGGATTACCAGATTATAGTAATATAGCTTATAGATTGTAATAATCCATCATAATAAACTATCTATTTGTTTCAACTTAGTTCTAATAATTCAGATTATAATATGACTATGTTGAATTAAACAGTGGCTTAAACGCGGGACCCACGTGCGACGGCGAGAAGTCAGAACTCAGAAGTCGCCGGAAGTTCTCCTCCCCTTCTTTCTTAGCGCCGAAGAAGAAGAAGCAGCAGCAGCGAATCGAACAAACAATACAAAACCCACGCGACGCGACTCAAGACTTGCACCCAAATCCATTCCCACCCACCGGATTCGCATCCGCCGCTGCTGGCCCCGTCGCCTCGCCCTCCGCCACCGCCGCCGTGCTTGCTCTCCTCTCCCTCCTCCTCCAGATCGGCCCGATCCCCTGCCCACCCCCCCTCCCCGATGGAGGCCAAGATCGGGAAGCTCGTCGAGTCGGTGGGGAGCTTCTTCTCCGGCGGCGACACCATCCCCTGGTGCACCCGCGACATCATCGCCGTGAGAATCCATTCTCTCCGCTCCTATTCGAATCCCCTGCTGTGGGGAGCTTTTTTCTAGTACTCTAATTTCTAATTTAATTTATTCAATGGGGGGAGGTTTTAGTTCTAGCGGGAGATCCCGCGCGGTGCTTGAGGATTAGCAACTCCGAGGATTGGAGGGTTGTACTGGGGAGCGAATGGTCGAGTGTGGAGTGGTTTTCATGCTTAGTTTAGGCGGCATGGCAGCCTGCCCCCATTTACAGTGGCTTGTTTGTTCCATCATGGTGGTGCTGCCGTCGGCTGCCCGTGATTAGCTCGCGTGATTGTTTGTTGCAACGCGGATGAGTCAAGGCGGCTTCTCTTTATTGAGCTGTGTGATTTTGATTCCTTTTTAGCGGTTCACAATCTGAAGAGTAACACTGGAACTATCTCTGATTCAATCATCACTGCAACTATTGGCTAAGAAAATGCACATATCAGTCTCACTTTACAAAAAAATCATTACCCTGTTTGTTACTAGATACATTCCAAATAATGTTTAGGCTTACACGTTCGCGCTCAGAGTTTCTATGGTTGTATGCTTTATTAGGGCTGTGAAAGGGAGGTAGCTGAGGCTGCAAATGAAGAGCAGAAGAGTGATAGCATTATGAGGCTGTCTTGGGCCCTCGTGCATTCCAAGAACCAGGAGGATGTAAATCGTGGAATAGGCATGCTTGAAGGTCTCATATCTTGTTTTGTTTTCGATAATCTAAACATAATTTTTGCAGCCTAATCTGTTTTGATCAATTTCGTTTTGTTTTCACAGCATCATTAGGTCAATCCAACAGCCCACTGCAGACTAGGGAGAAGCTATATCTGCTGGCGGTTGGACACTACAGAAATGGTGACTACCCAAGAAGTCGGCAGCTTGTGGACCGTTGTTTGGAGGTATGTGTGCAAATTTTTAGCTTGTAGATTCATTGGTATAATTCATATTCCTTAATGTTGTTGTTTTTTTCCTGGAAGCAACTTTCATGTCATTTAGTTTTTGTGCTATCAAAACAGGATAGAGTGTTGCATTGAATTATTCGGTCTTAGGTGACTGCAAAACAAACTTTGAAATTGTTTGTGCAAGTCTGTTCGATTGCTAGCGTAATAGTGCTGTTTTTGTGCCATATGATGCAATGGAAGTCAGGTTGACTTTTCATCCTTTTTCACTGAATTTTCACAGCCAAAGTTGACACATGTTGGCTACACTATGTATGGTTTCTGGTTTTTCCAATTGAGTAGGCATCGGAAATTATCTTCGTTGATCTGGATTGTTATTTAAAATATTTGCCTCACCAGACTAGTCGACACAAAGTTTTAATGCTGTTATGCAAATCAATAAGCTCTCCGATATGATGTGTTAATTTCACCCTTTTACTTGTAACCCAATTCCAGCTAAGCAAGGTTAATGAGTTTAAGCTCATTGCTTTTCAGCTCATGCTTGGTGGGGATGCCTTAGCTGCTAATGCATCGAGCCCCTTTCAGAATTTACTATTCTTTGCATCTTTTGAGAGATTTAGGGGCATTGGCTGAAACTGAAATTATAAAATTGCTTGTCTCCAATATGCTATTGCTCATCTTTATCATAATTGCAACTTCATAACTCCGCTGAAGATGTTTTTCGGGATTTTGGTTTTCTTGCTGTGCTGTGCTTTGCTATATGTTGACAGATCGTGGTGATTTGCTCAGCATTGTTTTCTTGAGTTTGCTTGGTTTGATGATTATGTAGTCATGGGAATGTTTACTTGGTCTTCCTAGTGCTTGTATTGTTTTCTTGCCTGACCTATGTTCACAATGCAAATGGGATTGAAAGTTTTAATCTTAGTAGGCAAGAACATTTTCATGTGAGCATCCTTGTAAAACCATTGTGCTTGTTCTGTATACCAACTGAAACGTGAGTTTTATATGTAACTTGCTTTCCTTGTGCTTCAACATGTTTTGGTTTGTGGCTTGGTATCTCCTGAATTAATCTATATAACTTACTTTCCTTGCAGATTCAACCTGATTGGAGGCAGGCTTTGTCTCTCAGGAAGGCTATAGAAGATAAAATTGCCAAAGGTGAGACATTGAGAAATTTGTTCCAGTTATATCCTATATTATTGGTTTTGTATTGAGCTACGTGATGGATTGTCTCACAAATCGAACATTTATTTATTTTTCCTCATTTTCACTGGGACAACAACTTATTTTATGATAATTCTGTCTAAACATCTGCATGCGTTATCTGCAGATGGTCTGATCGGAATAGGCATCGCCACAACTGCTGTTGGACTTCTGGTTGGTGGGATTGCAGCTATTGCTGCAAGGAAGAAGTGAGATGATATCTGCTTGCTGATGTAGTAACCAAGTAGATGTTTGGCTTGTTTGTTCTTTTTTCAATTCGTGGTATTCCAGTCGAGAATCGCCACAGTAATGTGCATAAAACAAATTGATGACCATGGTACTCCGGATGCAACATGTACCTTTCCTTTTCTTTGGTTTTATTGTCACTAGTTTCAAGCACCTCTGGCTTGATTCTGATCAAACATCGATAGTATCGTCTGAAAACAAGTGTTGGATACACCACGGTGCGATAAAACATGCTCCATTATTAATCCACCCAACGAAAACAACATCGATCCTACTCGCATTTTACTAATAACTGCAACATCACACGGTGTATTTTGTTCAAATCAAATGAGCAAGCAATAAAATGTCCAAGCTGCTACATGGCTACTTCTCAGGGCCGACGAGGGTGAGAAGCGTGTTCATGTAGTACCCCGACGTGTCGCCGCGGACGTCGGCGGTGACCGTGGTGTTGTACCTGACCTTGTACTCCTCCTTCACCTTCTCCATGTCCACCTCCGCCCGCGACACGATCCCTCTCGTCAGCATCTCCTCGTCGGTGCCAAGCCCTAGAATCGATGTCCGGATCACCTGAAGAAGAAGACGAGAAAAAAAAAATATTGAGTGAAACTTTACTCCAATGTTCGCCTAAAGAAGACGCGAAAAGACAATTGAGTCAAAGGGTGTTTTTAGTTTACGCTAAAATTAGAAGTTTGATTGAAATTGTAACGATGTGACAGAAAAGTTGAAAATTTGTGTGTGTAGAAAAGTTTTGATGTGACGGAAAAGTTGAAAGTTTGAAGAAAAAGTTTGGAACTAAACTCGGCTAAACTTTGCTCCAATATGTTCTGTAGTATTAAGGCGCGTTTTGAATTACGGGACATTTAACAATTTGTCACTTTTAAAATATGATTAATATTTATCACTTATAGTCTGTTCTCATGATATGTGAATTCAGTGATAAATTATTAAACGTTCAGTGCCAATTGGAAAAACGGATTTGCTAGAAAGTATTTTTTAAGATGGTTATGAAGAAGCAAGTTTTTAAGTTATCGAGGACGTTCGATTTTAATTTACCTCAGCGAAATGCTTCTCCGGCGAGGTGAGGCACCAGAGCGCGGCCTTGAGCACCGCCGCGAGCTGGTCGCCGCGGCGGCCGTCGAGGACCTCGTCGATGCCCTTGCCGTGCTCCTGCCTGTACCGCTCCAGCGTCACCGCGAGCTGCGCCTTGCTCCTCGTGCCGACGATGCGGACGACGTCGTCGCCGTGCAGCGCCTGCCCCCTGCCCACCACCGCGTCGTGCAGCTCCGCCGCCTCGGCGATCGCCAGCTCGCCGTCGACGCCACCGCCGCCGTACCGGTAGGAGCTCACGAGGCGCACCAGGAACCGCCTGAGCGGGTCCCCGAACAGCGAGCACGACGCCACGTCCTCCTCCAGCGACGAGGCGTAGGCGGCGCGGTAGGCCTTCCTGACGGCGACGAGGTGGTCCGGCGACGACGCGCAGGCGACCTCGACGAGCACCCAGATGTGGCGGAGCTCGCCCTTCTTCTTCTTCTTCAGGGCCTCGTTGGCCAGCTTGGCGTCCCGCGCCGCCGGGTCCATCGTCCACAGCATCAACGCGCTCTGCACGGCAAGAGAGAGAGAGAGGGAGATCAATCAAGAACTCGAGTCCATCAATGGCGCCGCCGCCCGCCGGCGAGGTCGCCAGGGTGAGGGCTAATTACACGGAAGTCGCCGGAGAGCTCGGAGTGGAGCCTGTCGAGGAGGGTCTCGTCGTAGAGGCCCTCGTAGGCGACGGCGATCTCCGCCCGCTGCGCCGCCGTCCGGTGGCCGAGGATCTCGATCAGCGCATTCTCGTCCGTTCCCCATCCTTTGATTCAGTTCAACCAAAAAAAAGAAAAGAAAATTCAAATATTTGATTTCGAAATCATCAGTTGTTTCAGTCTTTCAGAGCTATGTAGAACATGTTTAGCTAATCCATGACCAACTTGAACAAACAAAATTTCTCGTCTCTTCCACATGAACTGGAGTAGTAGCAACTAATTACTCGCAAACACTTCAGATGAAAACAATAACAATGACATGAAAAGCAACAGGGTTTGGCAAAGAACAGTGTTCAGAATTCAGTGCTCTTTAAGTTTACATTGTGAAACAAATTCAAATCCTAAATGTTCATGATGTACAAAGAGATTGAAGAGTCCATTTGTACCTTGCACTGCCTTTCTTATGCTCTCTGCATCCTCTGTAGGGGAAGGAGCTGGGTTTGGGACAGAGATGGAAGCCATGGGAGCAACAGCTGCTGCTGCTGCTGCTTCTCCTCCACCTGCAGAAGCAGCTGAGGAGGAGAGAGAATGGGGGGAGAAATGGAGGAAGAGGAGATTGAGTGGAGGTATGTTATGGATGCAGTCCAGGCAGCAGCACCAGCAACACATGGCACACACACGCCTCCTACGCAGCAGAGTTGAAAAAAACTTGAATGCTAGTAGTATAGCTTTAATCTGCACATCCAATGCTCTGGGCTCTACCCTATTTTTTCCATTTGTATTTCATGGTATTTTTCCATGATGTTTTTTTTCCTTACTCATTTTTATGATCTTGGTGAAGTGTTTGATTGTGTATGTAAGTGATAGTGATTGATTGAATACCGTTTGCAATCATGGACAGCTCAGACAAGCTGGGACATTTTTTTGTTTTTGTGTAATGGTTGCCCGGTTGGTTCCTTGGTCAGTTTGGTTTTATTGTCATGTCTCTTCTAAAAATGCAAATAATTATTGTGTTAAGTGCTTCCTAAACATATCTTTGAAGGCTTTTGTTCCTAAACTGTAATATATAACTCGGCTCGACGCCCGGTCGCTCCGCCTCAGGGGTGACGCGGGCGGCGAAACCCCATCGTCACCCCCTCCCTCTCCCTCCTCTCCCCCACCTCGCCACCGCCTGAGCAGCCGCCGGCAAAGCCGGGCGGCTGCAAAGACGGCGGCGGCGGGTCTCTCCCTTTCCCCTCACTCCTGGTCAAGCGGTTGGGGCGCCGATGAGACCGGAGCACGAGAGGCGCAGCTTGGCGAGGACGGCCAGATCCGGAGCCGTCGAGTTCGGATCCGGCCCTCCCTTGGCTAGATCTGGGCTGGACGCGCAGGTCGGCGGCGGAGGCGGCGGCCGCGGCGCGAGGGCCGCGCGGAGGAGGCGGCAGCGGCTCACGGACATGCATCAACTGCTGCTTCTCTGGCCTATGTGCACGGGGAAGCAGTTGGCGGCGGCGACGTCTCTTCTTCCCGGGCGGCTTAAAAAACCCACCTCGTGGAGCTCCTCCCCTCCTATGGCTAGATCCTGTCCTGGCCGTGGGGAGCTTCGGGAGAGGGGACGTGGCGGTTTGTGCAGAGGACGACGGTGCCATGGCGATGTGCGGGAGCAGGCCGTGAGCCTACCTGAGCCGTGGGGTGGTGAACTGGGCTAACTGGTGGCTGATGAGATGATGTGGTGGTTCAGCAACGGTTGTTGTGTGGGTAGGTGGCGCTGGACGAAATCGTTGGCGAAAGCCTTGCTTAGCCTTTGGCTGGCACGACGACGGTGGCGCCTTTGGCGTCATTCCCTTCTTGGAGGCGTCGTTATAGCGTTTTCTCCACCGCTACCAGTCTCCAGGTAAAAACTGTGATCCGGTTTCCGGACGGGCGATGGCGGCGTTTCACGTTGTATCCTCCTTGGGGGCATCATCTTGGAGAACCTTACCCATGCACCATTTGCCGCTGCTGGACTCCTGTGTCAGCTCGATGCGCTAGATGCCTAGGTGCTTGGCGAGGCCTTCTCCTTCTTGGTTCCTTTCTTGTATTGGTAGCATCCAGCTTCTTCGTTTGTCTCTGTCGGGTGGAGTCGGAGCTGCTACGTCGTTGGGGTGCGACGAAGCTTGGCAACGATAACATTTGCAGTTTCTCTCTAGGGATGTGGGTGTTGCTAGTACAGGCTTTGGCGCTTCAGGGGCTTGGCTGATGTCCAAAGTATGAGCTTGGTGTTGCTTTGCTCGGTTTGGCGATGCCTACAATGATGCCATGATTGCCATGGAGTCGGAGCTACTGGGTCGCTGGGCGGCTAGCTCGGCAACGATGACACGTGCCTTGTGATGTCAACGCTGTGTGCCGCCTCTTCAGCATCTCGACATCGATGTTCATCGTTGGATTCCGCCATCATTTCGTTGATAGTTTGGCTAGAGTGATGTGGAGCTCCGTGTGCTGTGTGGTTGTACTGGCCACGGTGGAAAGGCTTGGCGAGTCTCTACTCGCCGAGAGGTTGTTTTTTCTTTTTCTGTAGCCCATCTGAGTTTTTACTCCTATTTAATGAAATATAATTGGCAGTTCTCCTGCCGGTTTAGTTTTAAAAAACTACTAGTAAGTAGTAACCAATATGCATTTGTTACCTTTTTATATATTCACGTGGTTTACTTAATTAGGAGGAGGATTCATCATCAACTTGTTCATATCATCTGCATACATTGTAGACCAACCACTTAGTTGCAAAATATGAAAAAGAAATAATTATCTATAACTGACACATTGTAGTCGAATCACATAGTTGCATAACTTCATAGAAAAAAATATATATGGCTAACCACTTAGTTGCAATATATAATTTTTATATCATCCGCGACACGTTGTAAACCAACCATTTTAGTTGCAAAACTTTGTTGAAAAAAATATGAAAAAGAAATAATTTGAAAACAACGCGCCAGGTAGGGGTCGAACCTACGACCTTGCTTAGGAAACAGACGCTCTATCCACTGAGCTACAGGCGCTGTCATTGGATTGATTTATATTTTCTTTATTAAACTCTTACATGTACAAGTGAATTGATTTGTTTGCTCATATTATGGACATAGCTAACTGAAATTGTTATTTAGTGATCACAAGGGACCAAAACATGTATTATTTCTAATTTTTTGAAATATATTATTATCCATAATTCAATGCTTTTCAAATATGATTCAATGCTTAGCTCTTAAGGTTATCTTTTGCATATCGATTATACTATCCAAAAGTAGAGGGGGGCAGTACTCAGGAAACTTACGTTGTATCCACAACATATAAGAATTTGCACATGTTAAGCCCATCATACAAAAGAAGAAGCATTATGGTCTCTAAGATTAAAATTCAAAGGGCCTGACTCGTTTAAAACCACGTTTCTGTATTTCTCTCTTTTTTTTTAGCTTTCCATGCATGTGAAACGCACAGAGCTGATTTTATCATTTTTTCTTACCTTTTAAAATTCCTTCCAATTGGAACTGAAACATTGTGAAATATTTATTTTATTAAAAGAATGTCTTTTCTCCCATTACTTTCATACAACTGTGCAAAAATAAAGTGTGAAAGGTACAGTTGGCAATGTTGGAGCTGATAGTAGACTTCATGCTCAGGAAACTAAAAAAACAAGTCTCCTTGCGGATCACGCTGATCTGATTAAAGGTTTTATACTGAATCGAATATAATTTGGTTGCCAACGCATAACAAAACATTTAAGAAAAGATGAACGGCCAAATACTGCAGTTCATATGTGAAACTCATGGGATTTCTATGTGGCAGATGCCCTTTTTTTCTGGTGCAAACATGCCAAGTTGCCAAATGCCAACAACTCGATCAGATTTCAACTGCAATATTAAAGGTGATCCGCTTGTGCAGTTCTCAGTAATCAGCTTGTCTTTTTCCTACCATGTGCCAATTTTTCATCCTTCCCTGCATGATTGCAGAGGGTGACCCAACATCAAAGGACAATTAATTAGCTTGGTCCACATTTTTGAAGGTGACAATTGCCCCAGTAGGTTTCAAATGATAGGATATTTATATCCCTGGCACATCATGATTTTCATGTTTCAAAATTGCCAGCATGTTCTTATCCATTTCTTGCCAGAACATTGTGGTAAATCTAGGAACCTTCTTGTTTCACATGTTTCTTAAAGACGATGGTGATATGGCCACTTATGCGTTCTGTCTTAGAGAATACAGATTTTTGTCAAGTATATATACGTTCCAGTGAGCATGTTACTCATGCCAAGACACCATTGCTTAACTAAAACTGATCATCTCTGAAAGTTCCAAAATATTATGTTAAAAGAAAATTATGTCAAAAAGTCCCAAAATACCCGTTGGATTCTTTTTTCTTCTGTGCCTCTCCCCAATTGACAATGGCAATATATTGGACCCAATTATGAAACTACTATTTATTTTATACCAACAAGCCAAATACATCAAGCTACAATGTATTGATGTAGTGGATGTCTGGTAGCTGGTTATTGACCTTACAATAAACACTTCAAGTAGAAGTTGCGCTTCCTGCTGTCAGCTTATTTTTCAGAAAACAGTCCCTCTGTCATCGTAGCAATTGCAAGACATTGACAAACTTAAATTGAGCAAAGACTATCGAAAAACAATCGAATGGGACATAAACCAACCATGATTTGATCAAAGGTATGGGCAATTCTGATGCCGTTGATAAGGATGACAGCGTGTCTTGTGGATCTTGCTACTAATTAGCAATTAGTACACAGAAGCTGAATGATTTCCATTATAAAAAAATAGTTAGTACTCACATTGCTGCAAATGTTAGATAATTCAATTTCGGTATAACACTTCATTGCATGCTGCCCTACAGTTATTCAATTGCATTATATTTTCCCTTGAATAAGAATTGCAGTGCTGAGAGTAGGTTTACTATGATTTTGCCTGACAGATAACAAAATTCAAGAAAGAACAGCAAACATTTTACTATCTCTGATTGAATCATGTCCATCACAACTACCTTACAGTCCAGACCTGAAAATGCAGGTGTATATGCAACAAGTTTTCTCATCTTCTCTCTAGGAATTCAGCATGATGGGACTGCATCCAGGTAAGGAGGCCATCAGACCTGCCCCTATTCAAATTATTGCAGACATAATCTTAATTCTCAGATTACCCCGTGTTCCACGACTCCAATTCACCAATCAACCAATCACTTCAATTGAACACACCCCACCCCAACCCCCGGGGCTAACTCAGCATCATGTGCTGGCAACTCGTTTATTTTCTTTTATCCTCCTTTCCATTTCAACAGGGAACTAAATTAGATTGATCCATACGTACATGTCTGCACATGTGTAGACTACTGATGAACATTTCCTGGTTATTGAAATACCACCATTGCCCATAATTGGCTTCCCAGACACAAACTTCTTTGGTATAAAGATCGATCATCCACAGGAAGGAGAGAGCAAGCTTACAGCTCACAGCAATCAGCTAAGCCAGTAGCCAATCCTCACTCACTACTCATCTTCTCTTCCCATCTTTGTTGCTTGCATTCAGAGATCATCCAATCGGCCATGGCTGATGAAATCCAGCATCTGACCAGGGCCTTCTCAGGTTAGTAAACTTACAACCATTCAATTCTTGGACACATTCGTGTGTGCATTTATGCTGCTGTTTCATATTGTTTTGTCTTGCAAATGCTTATGGATTTTGTGGATCGATCGATTGATCAATGAAGGGCTCGGTGGCCTCGGCGTGGACGAGCCGGCGATGGTGTCGGCGCTGGCCAAGTGGCGCAGGCAGCCGGAGAAGCTGTCCGGGTTCAGGAAGAGCTTCAATGGCTTCTTCAAGGATCATGGCGGCGTCATCGAGAAGTGCGAGGAGGAGTACATGCTCCACCTCGCCGCCGAGTTCTCGCGGTTCAAGGCAAGCGATTTAGCTCTTCTCTTTGAATCTTGAATTCTTGACGAAGCTTGTCAATGGAGATGGAGCTGATTGGGTTATTGTGGTTGTGTTTGTTCACTGTTCAGAACCTGATGGTGATGTGGGCGATGCACCCGTGGGAGCGCGACGCGCGGCTGGCGCACCACGTGCTCCACCAGGCGCACCCGGCGGCCATCGTCGTGGAGATCGCTTGCACCCGGACGGCGGAGGAGCTCCTCGGCGCTCGCAAGGCGTACCAGGCGCTGTTCCACCACTCCCTCGAGGAGGACGTCGCCTACCGCGCCAGGGACAAGCCCTACTGCGGCGTAAGCAATTCAACAAACACCTTGAGTGCACGTCGTCGTCGTCGCGTCGACCTCTCCCGTTGATCTTTCTCTGTGTCCCGTGTCGCGCGTGGATGCAGCTGCTGGTCGGGCTGGTGAGCGCGTACCGGTACGAGGGCCCGAGGGTGAGCGAGGAGACGGCGCGCGCGGAGGCGAAGGCGCTCGTCGCCGCGGTGAAGAGCGCCGGCCACGCGGCGGCGAAGCTGGTGGAGAACGACGACGTCGTCAGGATCCTCACCACCCGGAGCAAGCCGCACCTCGTCGAGACCTTCAAGCACTACAAGGAAATCCATGGCCGCCACATCGAAGAGGTAACCAATCAATCAAACCACGACGAACTAATCGATCGATCTATCGATCTTATTGGATTTTTTGTTAGGATCTTGGGCACGAGGAGACACTGAGGGAGGCGGCGCTGTGCCTGGCGACGCCGGCGAGGTACTTCAGCGAGGTGGTGGCGGCGGCGGTGAGCGACGGCGCCGACCACCACGCGAAGGAGGCGCTGACGCGGGTGGCGGTGACGCGGGCGGACGTGGACATGGACGCCATCCGCGCGGCCTACCACGAGCAGTTCGGCGGGAGGCTGGAGGACGCCGTCGCCGGGAAGGCGCACGGCTACTACAGAGACGCGCTCCTCTCGCTCGTCGCCGGCGGCAAGTGACCCGGCCGATCAGCCATTGCTCCTCCGATCTGTCGCCTCGCCTTGTCAGTGCGTCGCCATCGTGTACGTTGTTGCTGCTGCTGTTGTTGTTGTTGTGTTTTTGTTGCATGCGTGGATCGAGACTTGTAAACTTAGCATTTCGCAGCAGAGCTGTTGGTATGGAATAAGGTCGATTTAATTTTTCTTGAAAAAAAAAAGAGGATCGATTTCATTTGGGACACTTTGATTTCATCATCTGGGATTTGGCTGGGGAGAAAACGATACGGAAATTTTCGAGATTTCCGAGCGCCGTTTTCAGTTTCCACCAACCGTTTCAGTCGTATCGGTAACCGACGATGGTGGAAATGGAAACGGTAATGTCTTTCGGAAATGGTAGCAGAAATAGGATGGATGTTTTTCCAACCGTTTTGTCAGTAACCGTATTTGTATGATAATTTCCATTAAAATTCTAAAAAAATTCCGAAAGTTCCTAGCGGCTCAGCCTACCCAACCCACCAGAAGCTCATGAATAAAGGAAGCCTGGTAGGCTTTTAGCCCATAAAAAAAAGAAGTGATTAGAGAAAATATTGTTAACCCTATGACGTGACAAGTGAATTTTGCTAAACTTTGGTCTCCTCAACTTATCAATGTTAAATTATTGTTGAACTTTGTTTATATTATATGTCAAACTTATTATTATATAATGGTATTATGTGGAGTGTGATGATGCAAGAATAAACTTAAAAGTCATCTTTGTGCATAGTTAAATGTGTGCTATGCCACACTCCGCTAATTCCGACATGAATTTTTGACTTCCAACCAATATCGATATATTCCGTTCCGATGATCCCGTTTCTAATATACCGATATTGTTATCGTTTTCGGTTTTATCGTTCCGATTTCGTTTTCAAGAAAAAAAATATAAAAATGGAAATGGTACAAGGTTTTTTCGACCGTTTCGTCCTTAGATTTGGCGATCTAAATGGTGTGGCTACCGAATTTGATTTTGGAGATGGTGATCTATTGATCGGTACATGGTGTCATGGTCCTTGACCACGCTGTTGCTCTGATAGGTGGATTGCAACATATGGGACCAAACCATACAGACACGCACCACTACACACGAATCTGGATCAGGTGTAGTCACTTTTGTCACTGCAATTTAGGCAGCACCGGTTCTCATTCACAGATACAGATGGAACGGTCCAGACTAGTGAGTCGCACTGTTCATTATACGGTAGCAAAAGCACTTTAGAGTAGAGTACTGTTTATACGGCTATTGTTTATACGGTTATTGTAGTGTTGCGAAATGGACGAATCAAATTGCATGTAATTCTTAAGTTTTAGTAACAGCTATAACGACACCTGATCTAAATCCAACACACACACCATGACCACGTGATCATGATGATCCGACCCAGCACGGCCACGCGTTGGGGCACACTGGACGGGACCGTACTGCGGTTGCCTTCAACGCTCGCTGTCTCCCGCGCGTTAGGCTGGAGGGGAAGGCGGGTGGCCGAACGGCTGGGCCGCTTAGAGGCCTTGTACTTCCCTCGAGTGGGCCGTAACCCGTAAGCTAACTCCAAATCGGGCCGAAGTGCAGCACTGCCCGCTGGTGAGTTGATTGGCAGTTTAGCGCACAAAATAATTACACATCAATATATTATCAATATATTAGAAGGGAGAGTTTAATTACATATTGCAACTAACGAGGCGGGGGGGGGGGAGGGGGGGGGGGGCTAATGCACGACTAGTCGCGCGGCCCCTCAGACGCCCGACCGCCGACTAGTACTACAGTTCTAGTCTACTAGTATTACTACACTACTACTATTAATATTACTACTACTGCTATACTACTACTAGTATTACTACTATAAATATATATATTTTTATATGTATATTTTTTTGATGTATAAAAAAATACACACATACAAACTTTGTATACGATGTGTACAAACTTTGTATATACGACGTGTATAAACTTTATATATGATGTATACAAACTTTATATACAACGTGTACAAACTTTGTATACGTACATATTAAAAAATCAAAAAACCAAAAAAAAACATCACATATATTCGTATACAAGTATACCAACTTTATGTACGACGTATATAAAGTTTGCATACTCGTATACAAAGTTTGTATACACGTATACAAATTTTGTATACGTATATGTATATGCTAAAAAACCAAAAAGAAAAAAACCGGAAAGGAAAAAACCGAATGGAAAACCACAAAAATAAAGGCCCCACCCCTACGCATGCGCTCACCGCGCGACCCCCTCCGCCGGGAGGAGGGGGGAGGGGGTGGGGGTGGCGCGGCATCGCGTTTTAGTAATATGAAAAATACCTACAAATCTCTATCACTTTTAGATGACTCAAATTGCATTGAGATTCACGCATCAGAGGAAACCTTATCTTCTCCCTCTCCCGTGACTCCAAGATGTATAAACTAGATCGAACAACTCACCACTGCAACATTCCATATCCCCACACCGTCACCTCCTATCCTTGCTTGCTAAAACCCCTCTATCCTCTCGCCACTCCTCACTCTCACATCCTCACCAGCACCACCGCTGCCCCTGGTCTCACTTTTCTCTCACTAGCACCAGAAAGCCTCCGCCATGTCTATTTCCCCCTTTTCATGTGGTTCACATCGCTGAGACAACTAGGGATGTAAGTGGATCGATCCGCAAACCTACTTATAGGCCAAATAAGTGGGTTCGCAAATCGACCCACTTGCATCCCTCTGACACCCCTATCGCCCCTGTTCTCTCTGCCAATCCTGCCCATCACCCTCTTCTAGTTGTTCTCTATTGTACTCTATGGTTTTCTATATCAGTCTTATATAAATTAGGGTGTGTTTAGTTCATTGGGTGTAAAGTTTTTGAAGTATGCGGACGCACATTTGATGTATTAAACGTAGACTAACAACAAAACAAATTACAGATTGCGCATGTAAACTACGAGACGAATTGAATAAGCCTAACTAATCTGTCATTAGCAAATGTTTACTGTAGCATCACATTGTCAAATCATGGCGTAATTAGGCTCAAAAGATTCATATCGCAATTTACATGCAAACTGTGCAATTGGTTTTATTTTCCACATTTAATGCCCCATGCATGTGTGTCCAAACATTTAATGTGGCATTTTTGGCCAAAAATTTTTCGGATCTAAACAAGGCCTTAGATTAGAGCTATTACCTTACGATGGACCTGAACCAGTATTATCCTTGTCTCCTTGTTTGCTTGATGTTGAATCGTGTTGATCCCCGTACAAACGTACCACAATACCCTTATCATTCGGTTTACGGATATCCCCAGTCGATATATCTTACACTTCCCTCCTTTTCTCCTCTCTTCTTGTCTCTCCTAGTCTCCCACTGGCTCGTGACTTAGATTTGAAGAGATCCGTCACTTGAAATCTACCCCGGTATTTTTCTTTTATTTTTTATATTACTAGAAAAATACCCGTACGTTGCAACAGGTAAACTATAATTATACAAAAATATAAAAATATTGGCTGATTAGGGTTTATTTTTTATGATATGAGCCCTTTAAGAAAATATATTCCTAAAGAAACAAAGTTCTAGAAAAAAGAAAGAAAAGAAATTTCATGATTTTTTAGCAATTTTAAACAATTAAAATGGTACTAATATTATTCCTAAAAATAGAAAATACTTAAAATACAGAGAAATAAAATAATTTTTGCCTGGCCCACGAACTTGCGGCCCATGAGGTGGCCCAGCCACAGGGCGGCCTGGGAATGTCGCCGGCCCAAGTCGGGATCGATCTGAACCGTTCATTTTGATGGACGGCTCGGATCGTACCCGAAATCCCTAACCCTAGTTCCCTTCCCTCTCCCCACGGCGGCGCCACTTCCTCTCCCATGGCAGCACCACTGCCTTTTATTCTCACCGGCGACACTGTTCCCTCTCCCCTCTCCCCACCAGCATCGCAGCTCCCCATCCCTCTCCCCCTACCGGCGCTGTCCCTTCCCCACCGGTGGGCGGTGGCCCCTTTCCTCCTCGTCGGGGTGTCGCCGCTGTCCCGCTCGTCGCCATATCCGGCGGGTTGGTGGCGCAGCGGCTTGGGATCTGGCTCCTCTCTCTCCCTCTCAACATCTGCCCAGCGCAGCGATGGGTCAGCGACTTCTCGGCGCAACGACGGCGTGGCTGCGCGGCTGCGGGTTGGCGGCGCAACGTATTCCCGGCGCAGTGGCAGGTTGGTGGATCCCGGCAACGAGGCGGCGAGGAGCAGCGACGGCCTCTCGCTTGCCCTTTCCTCTCCTGTGTGATTTATTTGTGATCCGATTTGATTATCTCCTGTCCTGTGATCTATTTTGGATGATTTTGTGATGATTCCTATTTGGATTGGGATTTTGTTTTTGGGTTGGATGGTGATGGTTTGGGATTTGGAGAGGGGATGCGTGTGATGCGGCAACGGACCAAGCCGATGAATCGGACTTCTTTTTTTTCCCCTTCTTTACGTTTTTTTATAAATTGAATTTGACTTTCCTTTTTTTTGTTTTCATGTTTTTTTCGTCCTTTTTTCGTTATTACGGATGACAGAAACGTTTTCAATTTTTTAAGTAGTAGAGATGGCTATAGTATAGATATATATATGGATAAAGGTAAAGATAAAGATTTTTATCTTATTCAATTTTTTTCTGGTGTTTAGGGTACGTGCCTTAAAAATTGAAATTGTATAGGAACATAAGAATGAGGTAGGTGCTATAAAAATTAAAGTTGTGTGTGAATGGAGAAATCAGAAACAGTTTTGTTTCACGTGATCTGGGAGGGCATATGCATGCATGCGCCAGGGCTGGCGCACGGCCTGGACGCGGTGCGCGGCGTGGAAAGAGGGAATTGCAATCGGATGCGGGCAGCCAGTAAAACGTGCCACGTGACTACGGACAACAAAAAAATCGAGCGCTAGGATTGATGTGACGTATGAAATTCAAATGCAAAAACACCTTAAATTTTTATAATAAATAAAGGTAAAGATAACATCCAGTATGTTTTTTTTCTACAAATAAATAGCACGTTCAATATTGATATCTTTCTACATATCATCGTCAACCAGATCCCCAAATTCCACAGAAAATATTGACTTTTATAGCCACTCTCTTGGCGTGCTACTCCAACGGGCCTACGGCAATTGTGGTCAACACCTAGGATGGATTCTAATATCTCGGGTGAACGTCAACCCGTTTCTTGCATGCCACCTAAATAATTATGAAAAAAATTCAAAAAAATTGACAAGATAGGTTAATATGTAATATATCACTTCACAAACATGGAAGTTCAAATTCGACTTCTACAAGTTGTAACAAAAATAAGAAATTAAACTCTAATTAGTATACGTATATTCACAGTCAAAATTGTTATTTTTGTTACAATTCATAGAAGACGAATTTGAACTTGTATATTTGTGAAGTAATATATTACATATTAACCTATCATGTCAATTTTTTTAAAAATTTTCCATAATTATTTAGATGACATGTAAGAAACGGGTGAATGTCCAACGAGTGTTTAAAACGGTTTCCCGTCAACACCTGATGCAAGAGTTCACTTAGTCAAACAAGAACAACAAGTGGCATCAAATCACTCACACTGACTATTCCCGCTTCCTTAGCCGCACCCACAGCCCGCCCTTCATCTTCATCGTCGCCGTCATCTCGTACGCCGGCGGCGATTCCATGGCCGGAGCCGGCGCCGCCACCTCGACGCTGAACCTCCGCAGCACGGCTGCCGCCACCGTCTTCATCTGCACGTACGCCATCTCCTTCCCGAGGCACGCCCTCGGCCCGGCGTGGAACACCGGGTACCGCGCCGCGTCCACGGCCACGAACTCGCCGCCGTCGCGGAGCCATCGCTCCGGCGAGAACTCGAGGCAGCCCTCGCCCCACAGCCTCTCCATCCGCCCCATCGCGTACGCGGAGTAGTTGGCGAACCACCCGGCGCGCACCGCCGCGCCGCCCGGGAGCACGTCGTCGCCGACCGCCACCCTCCCGTTGAACGGCACCGGCGGGTACAGCCGCATCGCCTCCGTGATCGCAGCGTGGAGGTAGTGCGTGTGCATCCCCTTCGCGTCGCCGCCGCCGTCGCCGTCGGGCGACCGCGACACCTCGTCGCGGACGCGCCTCTCGCACCGCGGGTTCGCGGCGAGGAGCCAGAAGAGCCACGTCAGGGCGGACGACGTCGTGTCCTTGCCGGCCAGCACGAAGCTCACGACCACGTCGCGCAGGAGCCGGCGCTTCCCCTCCGGCGTGGGGAACATGGCGCCCAGCTCGCCGCCGTCCTCCTCGTCCATGGCCGCCATGAACCGCGACAGCAGGTCCGGGTCCACGTCCTCGCTATCGCGATCGCGACACGCCGCCTCCTTGGATTCGACGACGGACATGGCGTAGTCGTCGATGACACCGATGGCTTCGCGGAGCCGGCGCGAGCTGCCGACGTTGACGAGGCCCGTGAGCTTCCGCACGAGGGTGAACGGCGCCAGCGCCCTCCGGAAGGAGATCTCGACGGCGGCGTCGAACGCCGCGAAGAGGGCCTCGTGGCGGCCGGAGTCCTCCCTCGCCGTCTCGAGCAGCGTCGAGCTCTCGACGCCGAACGCGACGTGGCAGATGCTGTCGAAGGCGAACCGGCGGAGCGCGTCCTGCAGGTCGACGGCCTCCCCGGACGCCGCGGCGGCGTCCAGGAACGGGAGGAGCCCTCCGCGGAGGTGCACGGCGAGGACGTCGTCGGAGAAGCGGCGGAGCGCGCGGGAGGAGAAGGCGTAGGACGCCACTTTCCTCTGGACGCTCCAGAGGCGCCCGTCGGCGGCGAAGAGGCCGTCGCCGATGAGCTCGGACATCGCGGCGCGGAAGCTCGCCCCCCTGACATAGTTGCCGAAGTTGCCGCGCAGGAGGTGTTCGACGGCGGCCGGGCACGCCGTGGTCACCGCGTGGCCGGCGCCGAACGGGCCCCACGCCTCGATGGCGCCCGACGGCGACGCGCGCAGCAGGTCGGTGTACCAGTCGAAGAAGCGGCGCCGGTTGCGGATGAACTCGACGGTGTTGCCCAGGACGGGGTTCGGGTGCGGGCGGTGCGCCGTCGTGAGCTTCGCCGGAGCTGACCGGCCGCCTCGCCGGAGATGGAAGAGGAGGACGGCGGTGACGAGGAAGAGGAGCACGTAGGCTAGATGCGCGGTCTCCATGGTTTCTCAATTTTCCCGGAAATTCAGATTGGCGAATTCATACGGGAGGAATTAATGCTTTTTATAATTCCATCCAAATTCCGTGCAATTTGCCAACAAGAATACTCCTACTGTTTTGTTGCATTCATTTAACCGGAACCATCAATTTTCTTCGATGAAGACATCTTGTGACTATTTGAGGCTACACGTGCTCTTGTATTCAACGATGATACAAAATAAAGTATGAATTACTAGAGAAAATTTGCATAGCAATGACGACCATCAATAATTCAAGTCAAATGGAAAAGTCCCAGGGAAAAAAAAAACGATGTGGGCTACTACTTCAGATCTGTATAGGTATGATGAGTTTTTTCGACTTTCAAGCTCTAATCTGCGCTTGGGCTCTTTCATCAACCAAATTATCTCGCTCGTGCCGTATCATTTGGGGACCTATTGGAACATTAGGAGGCTCCTCTGCCACCACCCCTCCTGCTAGATAGGAGAAACAACTTTTAGTTCTTAGTTTTAACCTTTATTTTATTCGAAATCATTTTCTTAAGAGAAACAACTTTTAGTTCTTAGTTTTATCTTTTTTTTATTCGAAATCCTTTTTCTAGACAAATTTTGCTACAAGACACTGCTATTATGTGGTTTTAGTCGTGGGACACTGTCCAAACTCACTTTTAGTAGAAAACACTCTATAAACATGATAATTGTTAATAGACACCGCGCCGATTAAAATAATAATTTCCGGTTGAGGAGGAGAGAGAAATCACGTGATATGTCAAAAATGCCCTTGGGCCCACATGTCAGCTCTCCATCTCTCTTCCTCTCTTTCTTTTGTTTCTCCCTTCTTCCTCCTCTCGTCGCGGGTGAGTAACAGCGCAATGCATGGTCAGCGCGACAGCCCAAGCCAGGACGGCATGGCGCGCTGACGGGGAAGCGATGGCTCACCGCCGAGGACCCACCGCCAACGACGACGAGGCGCAGCGGCCACCCGGCGCACGACGCGACGGCAAGCGGCGGCACCGAGCACACAAGCACGGCGGCGGCGCAATGTCGATAAATTTGGGCACAACCGGCTACTTCTACACGATCTAGGTTTCATAGGGATGTCAATTTCACGATAATATAACCTATGTTGCATTGGGACTACGTTTGCCCACAGGAAGCTCATTGGTGGCATAAGGGCGACCGGGCCGGCATGGCTACGGCGGCGCCCGCCCCAAATCGAGGGGGCCGCCGGCTTCTAGGTCACTAGGTGAGGCTCGGGGCACGAGGGTTTTACCGTGGGGGTGGTGTAACGGCAAAGGGCGGCAACGCGCGACGTGGTGCGGGGCGGTGCAGAGGCGGAACGGCGTCGGCGCCCGATTCTTGGCATCTGGGATGCGACGTTGGGAGCAAGATTCCGGCGGCGGCGACTGCGAGGGCGGTGCAGCAGAGTAAGGCCGGGTCGAGCTCGAGGCTGACGAGGAAGAGGAAGAACGTCAGCGTCGTCGAGAACTCCGGCGACGGCGGTGGCAAAGTACGCCATCAGGTGTGGAGGAGGAGGTCCGGTGCCGAGTAGGCCGCGCGCGCTCTGTGCGTCGCCGCTGTCACCGAACAAGCCGCGACCAGGAGAAGAGAGAAAGAAAAGAAAGATAGGAAGAGAGATAGAGAGCTGACATGTGGGCCCAAGGGCATTTTTGACATTTCACGCGATATCTCTCCTCCTCAACCGGAAATCATTATTTTAATCGGCACGGTGTCCATTGGCAAATTACCATGTTTATGGAGTGTTTTCCCCCAAAGTGAGTTTGGGCAGTGTTCCACAACTAAACCACACAATAGCAGTGTCCTATCACTGGCAACGACCAATCTAGTCCATTGCGTTGTGTAACAAAAACTCTATTTCTTCTACTCTATCCGTCCTAAAATATATAAGAGTTTTGGTTGTATGAAACATATCATAGTATTATGTCTGTTTGTGAATCTAAACAGACAGATAGGATGTGCCACATCCAACCAAAACTCCTTATATTTTGGGACGGAGAGAGTAATATACTAATGCAATTCTTTTACGCGTTCGCGAATAAAATGAATTTGTAATGATCACAAACATGCTTCCGTCATTTTTTCTGTATCACAAATTTTACAGTGAACAACTTCAGTCGGAATTTTGTAAGTCATGCATTTCATAATAATCTTAATTGCCTACGCTTTTATACCAACTCTATTTTTGTAAGTTTTGTGCGTTCTGGTATATTTGCCGACTTTTCAAAAGTTTACATTACACCCACCCCCCCACCCCCCGCCAAAAAAAAAAATGTTCAAACTTCTTTTTTAGTCATGGTGCAAATCGATGCAATATTGCAAAAGAAAAAAAAAAACTGTTTACAGTCCTATATACAGGAAACGTCCCAAATTGAAACATAAATAAATATATCGAACTGCAAGTCTGCAACGCTCGCACTCACAATTAGCAAGGGCATGTTTGGTTGGTGATCTGGATGACTTGCCTGAGAAAAATCTATGCCTGTACTGTGGTAGAAAAGCTCGTGTTGAATCATGCCTAGCAGGCATATATGATGTTCTGTTGTTTGGTTGAAGACATGAGCCTGGCTGAATATATTGAACATAGGTTGTGTTTAGTCCTAAAAAAAAGTTGAAAGTTTGAATAAAGTTGGGAGTTTGGAAAAAAAACTAAAAATTTATATGTGTATAAAAGTTTTTTTGATGTGATATGATGTGATGGAAAGTTGGAAATAGGGGGGAAACTAAACACGGCCATAAAAAAAAACATGCTTGTTTGAGTGAGATGTTTACAAGTGTAGTAGTAGTCACATCCGTTAAGAATCAATGGGGGATGATCAGGCACACGCCCACGCCTGGATCAGGCGTTCATTTTTGGTGGCGTGACTCCGGCAACCATGCCTGAGCATGGACAACCTTCTTCAGGGAAGCAACCAAACACTGCTACTTGCTGCTCCGGATGGCTGCAGGCCAGGGAAATACTACTCACCAGGGCAGCTCTGTTTGCGAGAAGAGAAGATTGGAAGATTGAGAAGATACGTCAAATGAGGTAGGTCATTAGTGTATGATTAATTTAGTATTAACTATTGTAAATTTTAAAAATGGATTCATATGATTTTTTAAAGCAACTTTCCTATAGTTTTTTTTTTACAAAACACACACCATTTAATAGTTCGGGAAACGTACCCGCGGAATTTTTTTTTACAAAACACACACCATTTAATAGTTCGGGAAACGTACCCGCGGAAAACGAAACAAACTTACTTTCTTTCTTTCTTCCACTACCGAACGGAGCAAACTCTTTTGTTTTGTTTGATCAGTAGTTTCGGTATCGACATATCTCACACTCTGTTCAGCTTAATCAGAGCATTTCCTACTAGCTTGTACTCCATCCTTTTTTTTTAAAAAAAAAGATGACACAATTTGATTTTTGGTTATATCTTTTCTTAACTAGCAAAAATGCCTGTGCGTTGCAACGGGTGAAAAAATTCTAATGATAATAAACGTTTTTCATGAATAATCATGTCAATGACAATGTTTGTATTTTAATGAGCGGCTTGTTTTTTTTTATAAACGGTCTTTTTTTCTTGCACGATTTTCTCAAACCATTCAGAAATGGCGCATTTCTTTCTAAAAGTTTTTTTAGCATTTTTTTTGCTTTTTTATTTACAACGAAAACCATATTTTTCTCCCTTTTTTTGCTTTTCTTTTCTCGTGTGTTTTTTGCCTTCTTTTACAATTATTTTCTCGCGTGTTTTTTGCTTGTTTTTTCTTTGAATGTTCTTTTTTTTGCTTTTTTCCAATACATGACTTAGGAGAAACAGAACTTTTGTTGTTGTTGTTTTTATTTTTATGCACCTTTCGGTTTTTTCTCTCTCTTTTATTATTATTTTAACAAAAACGACCTCAAGTACCTTATTGTAAGATTATAGGGACTCAAATGTAAATATAAAAATTACAGGGACTCAAATGCAAAAGTACAAACCTAAAAATTAAAATACTATAAAAATGGAATGCTCTCGACCAGTAGGTTCCGTTTTTGTAAACAGATCTTCAATCTGGCACATTATTTTGTTTCACCAAGATGTGAGAGATATCACAGTATATATTTGAAACCGAGAGGAGTGGTGGCTATTATCTCGGAAGGAGTGGCGCCTTTTATTTTCCGGGGGAATCAGATCTATAGTCGAACTTTTTTTTTTGTTTCTAAGAGGGAATCAGACTTTTTTTTATTTTTTTCGCTATTTTTTTGTTTTGACGAAGGAAACATTAAGTAGAGATAGAGAAGTAGAGATTTTTTTTGGCCTTTTTTTTCTTTGCATGGAATCGGATTTTTTTTTCGCCCTTCTTTTTCATGGAGATTTTTTTTTGCCCTTTTTTGGCACGGAATCGGATTTTTTTTTCGTCCCTTTTTTTTATCGAACCGTTACGGTTTTTTTCTCACTCGTCTGGTTTTTTCACCGGTTTTTTATTCGCCCTTCTTTTTCAGGGAAGAATCGGATTATTTTTTTCGCCCGGTTTTTTTCTCGCTCGCCTGGTTTTTTTTTACGGACGATAGAAGCATCTCTTATTTTTAAGTAGTAGAGATAAAATTTTGTGCAAATATAGAAATATAAGTCAGGTTTAAAATATCATAAATGATAAACCAAGTCATAACCAAGCAAATGATAATTGCATTTTCTTTACTAAAATAAATGGTTAACGCGTCGTCAATTAAAAAAGAGATAAGTATAATTCTTCAAGGGAAAGAACGAAACTACTATTCTATCTCTGGCACTGCTGGCACAAATTTGCTGACCTCGACCAGTGGTTCGTTGATAAGTCGGGTTGATGTGGTGGCCGAACACGATGCAACCAGCCAATCAAGCAATGACAGGTCAGACCACCAAAGCCCTCTCACAACATCACTGTGTAACGTAACTGTGTGTAATAATTTTGATAACGGTGTGTAATTAACTGTGTAAGATCAAAATTTGATATAATTGTCTTCTTTCTTATTTGATCATCAGTAGTTTCGATTGATCGATATGTCCCGCTTTCACTCTCTGTTCAGCTTAATCACGCTTCTTAATAGCTAGTAGTTCTAGTTTAAAGAGACATGATGTTACTCCCTCCGTATTTTAATGTATGACGCCGTTGACTTTTCGACCAACGTTTGACCATTCGTTTTATTCAAAATTTTTGTGCAAATATGAAAATATTTATGTCATACTTAAAGAACATTTGATGACGAATCAAGTCATAATAAAATAAATGATAATTACATAAATTTTTTGAATAAGACGAATGGCCAAATGTTAGATAAAAAGTCAACGGCGTCATACATTAAAATATGGAGGTAGTAATTGGCATTCTGTGTCTCTGACACTTGCTTGCTGATCTCCATTGGTTCATTGACAGGTCGGACTGATGTGGCGAACTAACGCCAATCAAGCAATGACATATCAGACCACTAGAGGCCACTCCCAACATCAAACCCCAGCATCAGGAGCACAAACTTTCTTCATCTTTTCTCTGTTTATTATTACCTTGATGCATGCAGATTCTTGCGATAAATAATTTTAATCAGAGCTCCGGCCAACCACTCACTGATTAATTAAACTAAACCCTAAAACCCTAATTGTGTGATCAGGGAGAGATATAGGCTAAGCGCACTACGGTGGCTGGGCCAATCAAGAAGCTCCAACCAGTGCATCATCTTTCTCTCACAATTGCTCCTGTCGACGGCACGATAAATTCAGTGCTCTGCTGCCATGCCTTTTTTCGGCATAGTGATTAACCGACGGCCGAAAAGGGGATTTGATTGATGCATGCACGCACACATACAATTTGAGAGGGGGTTATTAATAATTACTCCCTCTATTTCAGGTTACAAGATATTTTGACTTTGGTCAAAGTCAAACTGCTTTAAGCTTTAAGTTTAACTAAGTTTATAGATAAATATAGGAATATTTACATTAATATTAGTTTTATTAAATTAATAATTAAATATATTTTTTGAATAAATTTATTTTCGATCAAAAATATTACTATTTTTTTATAAACATGGTCAAACTTAAATTAGTTTAACTTTGACAAAAATCAAAACATCTTGTAATTTAAAACGGAGGGAGTAACGTCTTGTGATTGACTTGTGTATCAGCCATGGACTCGAGATCGTATCAGGATTAGGGTTCTGGAAAGTTTGAGGCCCGGAGTACATACATATACGCTTCTGAGATAGTTGCATGCGTGATGCAATGCTTTGGTGATCTTGCTAGCTAGCTTTTGATAGATACATTACTAAGGTGGCCACTGGACACTCACTAACCCTGCCTGGGTTAGTGGGGGTGCAGGGATTCTGCGGCATTCTAATTTCTGACTTTGTTCATATGTTGAAAACTGCATGAACAACAGCATATATAATAGCTGAAGTTATCCTGATTTTCTGCACAATATATATAATCAGTTTTGTGCACACAATTTCTTGAAAAATACTATCATAATATTGTAAATTTATTGGATCACTAATTTATTCTAATACAGAATTAATGCCCAGAATTTTAAAGATTTATTCAAATCGTATGCAGACATTAATCATTTAAAATAGTATAGATTTGTCTATCCGTAACGACTCAAGATTGCCATCTGCATGTAAGCTTGGTCAGTCGTTACAAAGAATTAGTCACAGATGTGACCAATCATCTGTAACGGTTGGAGGCCCTGTTATAGACGAGTTTCATCTGTAACGGCTGCTTGTCTTGAGCCGTTACAGATGTCGATGCATTTTTCTGAAAAAAAAGAAAGAAATTCAGATCCAATTAACCGAGGCAATGCAAGCATCAATAAAATGATCTACACTCAACTTTGCTTGAAGAGTCGAAGTCTCTAACACAAGATAACCTCATCACATATAAGAACTAGAAACTCATCACAAAACATCAATACAACATGAACAAGACGAACACAAACAGCGATGAACACGGACTTACCTGCCAAATCAAAAATTAAAAAACAACACAAACATTCAGCAGCTAGCAAGCCTCCATATATGCTTGAGCTCCGAATCAGCCGGGCCACCAGCTCCTCGCCGCCACGACACCATGAGCCGCTATACACCCCCACCATCGTTTGAGACACCATGCCCGAGTCGCCATAGTTTGGTCAGGCAGCTAAGGAAGGTGCCACGATCTCAAGGAAGGAGAGGCTAACTGGAGTCTGATCTCCGTGCAGGCGATCGTCGTCCATCGATCGATACATTTTGAGGAACACATAAAAATGCTTGTATTTTAGAACAAATTAAGGAAGCAACATTGATTTACTATTTCTTAACAAATCCCGGCCCATTTCTCTTATACAGTTATGACCACGATCGATCGTAATGATATTTACTAGGGGCTGTGGTGAGATCGAAGCCACATGCATGCATGCAGGGCTACTTGTTATTCCTTTCCAATATATTCACACATGTGTCCGATCACTCGATCATTCGTTGACTTTAACCGTGCTGTGCATCCCATTAATTGGATTAATCTCTAGCCACACGTAGTACAGGGGCGGTAGGCAGCGCAATACTATACGAGAGTTCGATCGATCGATCCCAACAACACCCACATGTCCGTCCAAATCTAGCAAAGCCCCCTCCCACAATGATGGAGAAACGCACCGATCGATCGATCGAGCTACTAGTAGCAACCACTAACGTTATACTCATCGATGGCTCATCCGGTGCACGAGCTATAGCTAGCCGGCCAGGTCGCATCATATCATATCACCGCATCCATTTCTCCTCGCCTATAAATTCGCAGTACAGCAGCGTTACGTTTGTATCAAACCACAGCGTACGCCCTCAACCTCAAGCCAGCACGCACGCCCTCATCAAGTGTACGAGCTATAGGTAGAGCTAGCATGGCGGCGGCGGCGGTCACCGTGAAGATGGCGTCGGACGGGATGTGGCAGGGGGAGAACCCGCTGGACTTCGCGCTGCCGCTGCTGGCGCTGCAGGTGGCCGTCATCCTGGTGATCACGCAGGGCCTCGCGCTCGCGCTTAAGCCCCTGCGCCAGCCTAGGGTGGTCGCCGAGATCCTGGTACGTACTGAAATATATATACTCCTGGATGGAGTATTCCCGATTTTGTTTTAGTCGCAACGCATCCAACCCTTTGATTACGTATATGAGCACATCATATTCGTAATTCCATTCCTAAACATGTACGTGTACTGGACCACGTCAATCCCTCGATATATCTAATACCTAACAAAATAAATAGATCATTTAAACCCGGTGATGTAAACTCACTTAATTGTAAACTAGTAGCAATTGTTTAGGTATATTAGCATCATGCTATATTCAAATTATACTTAATAAATATGTCAAACATTATTACAAAACTAAATTCAACGGCCTATTATTTTGTTGGATATTATATTCGATGGAACAACGCCTACCTTGAGCATCTTGCCTACAGATTGAAATATGGGTTTGGTGTGCTTATATTTGGAATTAAACTGATGCATGTGCTTACCTATAAAAATATGAGGAGTATTCTACTCCTCATATTTCTGGGAAAAATATTTTTTTTCCATTGAGACATGTCCATTCGTCTCTTATATGTCATCCAAATAAATATAACTTTTTTTCTAAAAAAAATGATATGATAGATTAATATATATCATTCTTCACATTTCTATGACAATTTGCTAACCGCTACGTTCACATTTCTATGACAATATGTATCTCTTAAAAAATAATTAGGAGATCATAAGGAGACCGGATTAAGAAATGCATATATGTTAGCGAAAGGACGAAAACTTTTGCTACATATATAATGAGGTCATTTTCTCTACCAACATGAGCGATATCGATATGAAGGCCATGTTTAGATGGGAGGGACTAATTTTGATTTCTCTTACAAAAATTTTAATCCCTCAAAAAAAATTTTAGTCCCTCCACCGGGAACTTACATTCCATCCAAACAGCCCCAAGTAGTAGTGACTAATTAAGTCAGTGCATACATGCTTAGCTAGATTTGTCTCGCATAAATAAAAAAAACAAAAGTGGCCCTATAATTCTTTAATAATGCGCGTCACATGTTTGGCATTATTTCTCTTGAACGTGTTCTCTATATATCTCCCGAGAATCTAGGATTCTCCTAATGTACACACAACACAAGGGACTACCAAACTAGAGTATATAGCTAGGCAGCCGCATTTTCTAGAAGAGGCACAACATTGTTGAGATCATGAAAGTACTCCCAATTGTCATTGAATATAATTGACTATATATTCAGCCAGATGTTGACGTGTTGGATGGTGTACTTGTACACAGCAAAAAAAGTTAAGTCCACTTTTTGATTGGGGTTATGCATAAGCCACGAGGACAAAACTTCAACAGTTCAGTTATTCCCACCAGAATTTGAGTTTTAGATTTACCACAGATTCAAATCATGTAGTTGGCATAACTGATCGACAATTCATATTTTCTAATGATCAAGCCCTAGAATTGACATGAATATTCACAAACTAAGTCCCGCATAGCTGTATTTAGTACGAGTACTTATTTTACCTAGAAAATTTTAGGAGGTACTCCATCTGTCCAAAAAAAAACCAGCATAAGTGAAAATGTGACATCACCTAAAACAATAAATCTGAACATGAGGTTATCCGGATTCGTTGTCTTAGGTGATGTCGCATCCTTCCCGTTAAATTTTTTGGGGACGGAGAGAGTAGTATATATCGCATGTGTATCTGTTCAGTGGTCAAAACACTTAACTCTCCTACATGGAAAGGGAGATGACCGATGTAGCTATATTTATGACATCATATTTTTTTATTAGAAACAGTCACATTTGTTACACGATAAATTACATATATTTGCACTTCAATTATCATGCAAATGTTGATAGCTATATTATAAATTTTAATACTTACTGTATAATTTTTCCTACCATATATCAGAAAATTATAATAAAAAATTTAATTATCTATATGAAAAGGGAGATGGGAGAGGTAAAAACATACTTAAATATTAAAAAAGAGGTAGCAATCACATTTTTTTAAAAATAACCTAAACTAAGAAAAACTGTGGCTACATATTTTTAAGCAAAACCGGAGGGAAATATGCCTGTTTAGCTATCTAGAACACATTAATTTCCAGAAAACTAATGACATACTGTAACAATGAACATTCATTCGTACGGCATGTCCAAGATAAATAGATAATCCATGCTTTATGCATTTGCTCTTGTTTTCCTGAATCATGCATGCCTCATAACAAATAACCTATATATAAAGTGTTCTAGTATACTTATGATCAGTACTCTCTCCACTCCATTTTAAACACAGGGCATGAGTTTCCATGACCAAATTTAATCGTTCATCTTATTTAATTTTTTAAAAAATAATTAAAAATATAAGTCACGCATAAAGTATTTTTCATGTTTTATCATCTAATAACAACAAAAATAATAACCATAGTTTTTTTTAAATAAGATATTTTTAAAAGACCGACGATCAAAGTTGGACACAGAATGGTATGAAGGGAGTACATGATCTGATTGTTTACTTATACATATATGCATGCTCGCCAGGGTGGCATCTTGCTGGGGCCGTCGGCTCTCGGCCGGTGGGGCCCCTTCCGCCGCACCCTCTTCCCGGCGTGGAGCGCCGCCGCGCTGGACACCGTCTCCGGCCTCGGCCTGCTGCTCTTCCTCTTCCTGGTCGGCCTCGAGCTCGACTTCCGCTCCGTGCGCCGCGTCGGGCCGCGCAGCGTGGCCATCGCCGCGGCGGGCATCGCGCCCCCGTTCCTCGCCGCCGCGGGCCTCGTGCCGCTCCTCGACGTCGCCGTCCCGGCGCCGCGCCGCGCGTCCTTCCTCCCGCTCTGCGTGTTCGTCGGCGCCGCGCTCTCGGTGACCGCGCTCCCCGTGCTCGCCTGCATCCTCAAGGAGCTCAGCCTCCTCGGCGTGCCCTTCGGCGACACCGCCATGGCGGCCGCCGCCGTAAACGACGTCTTCGCTTGGGTCCTCCTCGCCCTCGCGCTCGCCGTCTCCGGCGGCGGAGGCGGCGAGCCGAAGGGGCCCCCTCTCGCGCCGGTGTACATCCTCGCGTCGGGTGCCGCCTTCGTGGCGTTCATGCTCGGCGCGCTCCGCCCGCTCATGGCGCGCCTGGCGCGCCGCCTTGGCCCCGACCGCGCGGGCGACCTGGCGTGCACCGGCGCCGTGGCGTGCGTGCTCCTCGCCGGCGCCGCCACCGACGCCATCGGCGTGCACCCGGTGTTCGGCGCGTTCGTGTTCGGGCTGGCCATGCCGCGGGAGGGCGGCCTCGCGGAGCGCGCGGGCGAGAAGGTGGCACCGCTGGTGTCCGGGCTGATGCTGCCGCTCTACTTCGCCACGAGCGGCCTGCACACGGACATCGACAACGTCCGTGGCGCGGCCGCGTGGGGCATGGTCGCGCTCGTCGTGGCCGTGGCCATCGGCGGGAAGTTCGCCGGGACGTTCGCGGTGGCCGCCGGCACCGGCATGCCCAGGCGCGAGGCCGCCGCCCTCGGCGTGGCCATGAGCGCCAAGGGGCTCGTCGAGCTCATCGTGCTCAACATCGGCAAGGAGAGGAAGGTATGTCTTCTTTATACACGTATACGTCTCACATGTGTCCATGTACTTCGATACGTACAAATATACGTATGTACGCGTGTATATATGTGTGTGCAGGTGCTGGACGACACGACGTTTGCCATCTTCGTGATCATGGCGCTAACGACGACGGTGCTCGCGACGCCGTTCATGACGGCGCTCTACCGGCGCACGCCGACGGCGACCACGCCGGAGAGCGATGACGTGGAGCTCAATGGTGGCGACGCTTGTCCGGCTTAGCTAGCTAAGGTGAATTTGCTTGTGTGCGCATTACACTATTGTGTGTTCCGGCTGGCAATCCCTGCTGATTAATAGTACCCCACTGTTCATGTACTCATGTATCAATCCTTGTGATAAATGTTGTTTGTACAACTGTATTGTGTTGTTCATGTAAATTAATCTGCCCAATCTACCGTAGAATTACGACTCTCAGACTACTCTATTAACATGTTGTATTTAGAGTCGTCTCTCCAATTTTTTTAATAAAAAATTGTAAGCTTATAGTAGGGATTGAGCACATGATCTTAGAATTGAAACTACACACCCCGTTACCACTGCACTATCCCTTCATCTACTTTTGATAGTTATATTTTTAAATCTGAAAAATTTATTCTTGATAGGCATATTCCAATCCAATAACCTATCATCTTAATGACTTTCTCGAATTTAATGCGTGACTCTCCATTCTTCCACGCAAGATTGGTTGCATAGGCATCAAGAAATGTAAATATTAATGGATCGCTTGTTTATGAGCGATGACTAATAGCATGTTTAAATAGATGATAAGTAGAATTACTTATCCTTGATCTGTGTGTCAAGATGAAATATGACTATCAAAAGTAGATGAAGGGTAACATCTAAAAATGGATGTTTAAGATTTGTTCAAGTCACTTTAAGTTAAAATTTTACTTTTGGATTTAATTGTAGGTTTACAAAACCACATGGTTATCGCGGTTATCATGTGCGATAACCTTCTCAAATTTTAAATCAACAGTATACCTCACGATAACGGCCAAACCGTGGGGTTGTGGTAACCGGAGAACTAGGGGACAATTGATATTTGGAATTAATGAAAGATAAATAATAGTAGTTTAGAATGTGGGAATGTGCTGTAAAATCACGCAAACAAAAGCCCATGCCACGAAGGGTTTCCCAAATCGCCGGAACCAGGGTTACCGCGCCTAGGCGGTAAGCACGGTTGCTGCGGTAACCGTGGCAAACCGTACGAAACCATGTAAAATTTATCAAAATTTTAAATTATTTTTTAAATTTATTTAAATTTATCAAAAATTTTCCTTTAACCATATTCCTCGGTAAGCGGTTACCGGCGGTTTTGCAAACCAGCCCGCTACGCATGGAGAATTTATTTTATTTATACATTTTTTTATTAAAATATTTACAAAAATAATTTTTTGTTTTGAAAATTTACAAATCTAATCACCTGCCGCTCTTTGGGAGGACGATTTTTTAAAAATCGCCCTTCCAGAGGGCGGCAAGGGACCTAAATGCAAATTTTCCAGCACAACTTGTTAGCTCTATGCTTTTATAATTTAAAATTATATTATATAAAGTTAGATGAAATAAAACTTTATATCAAAATTGTAGAGCTCAAGGAGATCTACAACTTTGTAGTTAACAACTTTTTCATTTAAGATGTTTTAGATATCCAAATATTCGTTACAAAATATAAAACACATTTTAAAAAATCTCAGATCTACATTTCAAACGACATTGGATAGAGATAAACTTTATATAAAAATTATAGATCTTGATGAGATCTATAACTTTGTAGTTTATTACTTTTCCATTTAAAATTATTTGAAGTATCGAATAAGCATTATTAGTTTTTAAGCAATTAAAACCGGTGGAAAGGGTTTGAACACAAATAAAAATTTTACATTTAGGTCCCTTGCCGTCCTTTGGGAGGGCCGCAGGAGATTAGATTTGTAAATTTTCAAAACAAAAAATTATTTTTGTAAATATTTTAATAAAAAATGTATAAATAAAAAAAATTCCACGGACCGCACGTCCCCTGCATGCTGCCCTTCGTGGCCGTAATTGGGTCATGACGGTTATGTTTAGGCCGGAAACAGGATCGTGCGGCCCATAGTAGTTGGGCTGAAACAGGTCAGTAATACCTTGTTATCGGATCGGTTCAAAAAGAAGCCAGCAAAATGATTTGGCCCAAGAATGTACGCTCCGCAATTGAATAAGTTCACTTTAGATCCCTTATGTGTCGCCGAGTCCGAAATTTGTCCCCCAACTTACAAAACCGTGCAAACGAGGTCCCTCGGCAGTATTATGCCTGGTTTTAGCTGACGTGGCGCCTACGTGGCTCCTTTGACTAGGTCTACGTCCCACATGGCATTGACGTGGCAATGCGATCCCCAAAAATTAAAAAAAAAACAATGGGACACACATATCAGTTGCACGTACGAAATAAAAACTTTGATCCCCTCTCTCTCCTCTCTTTCTTCTTCCTCATCCTCACTCAGCAACACGCTGAACCGTCTCCGCCGCCTTGGCCTCAAGTGCATCCCTGGTATGGACGAAGAGGTGTGCGGCATGGTCCTCTTTGAGCTTTGCGAGGTGTGTGGCCGACGTTGGTGGAGCAGGGGGGCTGCAGCGAGAAGAGGGACGGCAGCAGAGAGGGCGCCAGCCTGGATTTGCACGGACTGGAAGGGCGGGCGATGGAGGGCGGCTAGGCGTCGAGGAGAACGGCAGAGAAGGCGAGCGAGGTCGGCGGTAGGTAGCAACCTCAGCGAGACGGGGAGACCGTGGCCGTCATGACGATGGCGCTGCAGTGGTCGGCCACCTCGGCGTCGCCGACAGAGTTGGGGTTTGCCGAGGAAGGCAACGGAAGCCCGCCGCTGCTCCGCTCTTCTTCTTGCAGTGTAGGGGGAGAGAGAAGGATAGACAGAAGAGGGAGGAGTAGGAGGTGGAGAGAGCGAGGAGCTCGCCCGCCGCCGCCCCTCTGCTTCGCCCACCGCCGCTCCTTTTCGCTCCATCCATTTCCCCTTCGCGCCGCTCGCTCGATCTTCGGTCAACGCGTCGGAGGCTACCGCCACTGCCACCACCACCAACCACCACCAGGAGATGCCCTCCTCGGAGCTTCGGCACGATAAGGGGGACATCGCCAAAGCCCCCCGAGCCCTTGTCACGGGAGCAGTTGTTGGCGTTGGTCCGCACGGCTGCGGAGACGACCCCCACGACGATGGATGGTTGTGTAGTGCATGGCGGAGGCCAACCGCGCGAGTAGGTGAAGGACCTCGTTTGTAATGGTTTTATAAGTTGGGGGATGCGTTGTAACAGGTTTGCGCTCCAGGGACGAATTTCGGACTCGATGACAAATTGAGAGACCTAAAGTGAACTTATACCCCCCCCTCCCGCATGCGTGCAATTGCTTCCTCCTTGAAATGAAGCCTAAACGTGTGATGGCCCGAGGATGCGTTTGCTTGGGCCGCATCGATTCTCGATGGATGGCACTTTGCTTGCGAGTGATAGTTAATCGGAATAACTTCACTTTAACTCACTTTTTCACTAGTGGCCAAATCTAATTCGTATCCTTGAACCGCAGTACCGGTTATCTTGACCCCTAACTATTAAAACCACTACAATTTGACTCACTCGGTGGTTTTGGAGGACGATTTCGTTAACGTGGTGTCTACGTGGCAGTGTTGACCTGGTCCTCATCCCACATGGCGTTGACATGGCGCTTATGTAGGATTAGAATTAAAAACATATATATGGGACCCTAACATAGAGCCCACATGTCATCCTCTCTCTCCCTCCTCCCTCTCTCTGCCCCACGCCAGTGCACCCACAAGCTAGGCGGTGTCGCCTCTCCCCTCTCCCTTCTCCTCCCCCAGTGACGGCCTCAGACGGCGAGGTGGGTGGCAAGAAGCTAGCTTGCGGCGGATGGAGCTTGGTGGTGGTACCGGATTAGGGGTGGTGCTGGCACGATGCAGGCAAAGGAGGAGGCGGCGGTGCTTCGGCAATCCTAGCCGTCCGCCCGCCCGCCGCTGTTGCTCCAGCTCCCGTCCTTCCGACTGTCGCTGCTGCTCCGGCCCTCAAGGGCCCACTACCGCTTTGGCCCTCGAGCGCCCGCCGCCACCCAGGACCTCGCCTGCCCATTGTTGCTGTCGCTCCAGCTCTCGCCCCCTACAGACGACCGAAGGGGAAGTGGAAGGGGGGAGAAAGAGAAAGAGAGAGAAGGGAGAGAAAGGGAGGATGAAGAAGGAAAGGAGAGAGAAGATTACATGTGGGCCCCACAATATTTTTTTGTGTGGATGTCAAATGGGTTCCATATATATTTTTTAGTTCTAATACCACGTAAACACCACGTGAGACATAGACTAAGTCAACACCGTCACGGATGCACCACGTCAGTGAAACCACCCTCCAAAACTGCTGAGGGAGTTAATTTGGACTAGTTTTAATAGTTGAGGGTCAAGATATCTGGTATTGCTGTTCAAGAATAGGAATCAGATTCGGTCACTAGTTAAGAGAGTCAAAGTAGACTTATTCCTAGTTAATTTGGTCATTCTGATGCTTTGCTTCTTGGCTTACTTAATTACCTTTTTGATTTGGGGAGTAGATGTCTGTTCCATTTGATTTTCATCTGTTTACAAATTTGATTATTCCTTCAATTTCTTTTTCTCAATTGAATGCCAGTTTTTATCCTTTTGATTTTTTTTATTACAAGCAAGAAACACACAACACTCACATCACACACCCCCAAGTCCTCCCTTTTCACATGCTTAAAGAGGCATAGGCTAGGAGTAATTCTCTAGCCTCACTAAATTTCTATTGAACTTTTTTCTTGCGTGGTAGTCTTATAAGGTACTTCCTCCGTTTCACAATGTAAGTCATTCTAGCATTACCCATATTCATATGGATGTTAATGAATCTAGTTGGATATATATGTCTAGATTCATTAACATTAATATGAATGTGAGAAATGCTAGAATGACTTACATTGTGAAACGGAGGGAGTAATAGTTTGTGAACACTGTATGTCTGGCAGTTTACCCCTTAACACCCTGGAAATGCTTGAGAACTACCAAAATTAGCTACACACACTAGCAGTAATAGTATAAGGATAACAAAGAATCAGCCAAAACCAACATTGAAGCCTAAAATTAGAGTTGTTTTAGACGATCCATTTCCCCCTTAATTTCCTACCTATACAAACCATATCTAATTAATACACGATGACATGAACATTAAGCCCTCAACATGACACAACTTGACAAAGTATACAGGCATGGAGTAAAACACAGAAGCAAATTAAGCTCCATGCATATGATCACACAACCCACAGCGAATGCAGATCGAGCATTTTTCATCCCGGCCAGCTATAGTAGCAATAAAATGTGTACAGCAGCTATAGCTATACTACTGGCTGAGCGGCACGCACTCGAGCTCGATCTCCAGCTCCCCGTGCTCCACGTTCTGGAGCCTCAGCGCGATGTCCTGCTTCACCTTGCCGTCGACGACGGAGATGACGCTGTCCCTGGCCAGCGTGCCGTCGTCGCTCGCCAGCAGCTTCGTGACCTCCACCGAGCCGGCGATGGCGGCCGAGCTCTCGTGTTCTCGCGCCGCGGCGATCAGCGGCTGGATGTCCACCTCCACATCGCCCATCCGGTCGTCGGAGCTGAACGTGTCCTTGTCGAACACTTGCTGTTAAATTAGGAGGTAGAAGAGCAGATAGAGATGCAATGTGTGAGTTTGTAGAACATTTCTTTTTTGTACATAAATTTGAATATCAGTGGGTAATCCATGTTTCCATCCTATCTGTAACAAATGTGTTTGGATCTGATCGAAGAATTCTCACTTCAGAACCAACCAAACAAAAATGCGGTTTGTCATAGGCTATATATATGTAAGCACAAGCTTGAATTTGGCTTTTGCTACTCTCTCTTTGCTGTTCTTAAGGGGAAATAAGGCACTCTGCTCTCGTAAGTTCAGATCATTTTTTTTTGACGCAAAATGAGTTCAGATCATTATATCCATAAGTAGGTAACTCAATAAATCAGATTGAATTTAGCCAGCAAATTTCTATACTTCAAAAGCAACCTAGAGTCTTGAACTCTTGAATACTAAAGATCAAGAATTTGCTTGCCACACAAAGTTGCACAACATAGCTATTCTACAACACTGGATAGAGATACTGATCAATACTCTCCATTGATGGGCAAGGCAAAAATTAAAATTAGATGATTTGTTATGACTAAAGAGCATGTACCAATTTAAGAGGCGGCACCGGGTGAGGGATCGATAGCATTAGTCTTTCATTCCATACAGGATTCAGGGTGTTCTTTATCACCTTCGTTTTCATGGTCTGAAAAATGTTATTTGGCAGTAAGAAAAATATATATTGCATATTTTTTCAGAGATAACTGGCATCTGTTAACAAGATGAGCTTACTTGGTGTCCTAGGTTAAGCATAACATATGGATCACTTGACATCACATCACGAACAGCAAGATTTGTGCCCCGTCTAATATCAACCTTAATTAATCCAACAAATTCCACCATACCCACATCCGTCTGAAAAAAAAAATTAGACCATGTTGCAGTAAAAACAGTTCATAGAGTGCAATACCCGCTTAAAATACGTAGAATATGTAAGTTTTCCCCACCATTTTCTTTAGTCCTTTGTTATCTGTGTCCTTTCTCTTCCAGCTATTCCTAAAAGCATGGCCAAAACCATGTCGCGCACTGCAGTTTTGCTGCTGCTGATTCTTGTCTGGTGCGTGTTTGGTATTCAATCGTAAAGGGCATGAAAACTGTGGATCAGTCACAAACTGTTGAAACTCGTACTTTTTCCTGCATATACGTAGATGGAGAGAAAGCATAGTTTTGTCAAACAGAATTTACAGAAGGAGTAACGATCAGAATCCTACTTTCCGTAGCAGAATCTACAGAAGTAGTAACGACAAAAATACTAGCTTACTCGTAATTTATACCTAATGAAATTGCAACGCTCCTCTGTTGTGCAATCATGTCTGGGCTTTTTAAAGTTCTCTGGCAAAAAGGCCTCATATCTTGTGTTCACCGTAGCATTTCCACCTGAACCAGCTAAACAATTGACCTCTTCATCTGTCCATTCGTCTAGATTCACGGAAATTACCTGTGCTCAATTGAACAGTGAATTGTTGAATAATTATTACTTCAGTATGAGGTCTATTAGTTTGCAGTTACCATATGCTTATGCCTTACAAACTAGATCATATATGTCCATGCTTTTGAGTAACGAAATGTTTGCCTGCAGTGTAAATTTATTGGTACTGTAGAGACAAATAGATTCATATCGTGACAACCTTTGGTCTCTTAGAACATCTCAACCATTGAATCAGAATAAGTCGAGTTGAAACCAAATTTGAGATGAGCAGATGGGAGAACAAAGTGAACTACAAAGAGTCAATCGTGTGCACCTTTGATATGTGTACTCCAAGACTTCTATGAGTTCCAGAGCACTTTATGCAAATCAACGCACCAAAAGGCAAGGCCCTGCAAGAACCACATCAGCTATTAGGATAACAAAAGGAGCATTAATTTTATAAAAAAAAACAAAAATATAGGGATAATGTTGTATGTCTGGGAAACGGCTGATACTTACGCCCATTTTGGATCAGGGGTACCACAGTCTGCACAGAACTTGTTGGCAGGTTGTTTCAACAGATGCTCCAATCTTTCCCTTGCATTGGCCAGATCTACATCTGTTAAGAGTTGCATGTTATTGTATGCAGGTTGCAGCTATTGTCGGAAACACGCGAATCATTAAAGACAAACAAACACAGAAGATTATGCTCATATATAGATCCGCCTAATTTTCAACGATGATCGACATTGAACACCATTAGACAAATTTCTTGGAGAAACGATGGTCATGAACACAAATAAAGAATAAGATGGCATGGGGAATTGAATTTGCAGATCACAATTTGGGCTCTGCAAGCCCCATTTTTCGGTGGATTGGCACTTGGCATTTGGTAACCATGCAAATGTGAGCCATTGCAGCTCCAAGGAAGAACCATCCATGCAATGCCAATTTGAGAGCCATTTAACCCGTTTGAGCTAGTTTCGCACAATGTTAATAACAAGAGTTAAAAATCATGGAAATCTCCTCCAACAAAATTCGACATTGTGCGATATTCAGTATACATGTGAAGCTTTTCGTAGATCTATAATCTATTCGTTTCAAAGATCCCCAATGAGTTTAACCACGATGAACGTGAAGAGGAAAGGAAGGAGCAAGGGGAAAAACCTGATGCATCGCAATGGGCTTCATCATCATGCGCGGATACGTATTCTTCACATTTCCTTTATAAAAAAAAAAAGAGGAAGAGAGAAAAAAAAAGTTCTTACTGAATCTTGCATGAACAAAAAACGGAGAGAAATTCGCAAGGAAACCCGACAGATATACTGATAAAATGCGGCACCTTCTGTAATGCGCGTTTGGGCTATCTAGAAAATGCAGGAGATTGTTCTCCTCCATCCTCTCCTCCTCGGCCTCCTTCGTCCTCACGTCCTGGCGATGCATCGGGAGACGACGACGATGCGGCGGCGGCGGCTCATCACCACGCCGGATGGTTAATCATGGAGATCGATCGGAGCCCGTTTGGAAATTAATCCTCATCAAATTGGCTGGAGAAACAGGTTCGGGCATAAAATGGCGATGGGGGAGTTGAGCACCAGACCACCCAGAAAGATTTGTTGCCGATCGATTGAAGCAGCAGAAGGGTTGGTTGGTTGGTTGGTTGAATTCGTTGCTATTGCTTCCCTGTGCGTGCCTTCTTCCCTTTTTTTCCTTTTTCTTTTTCCCTCTTCTTTCTCCCTTTTTTTTTCTTTGTTTCGGTTGAGGGCGAAGCAACTGGCCAAGAATAGGCTGTGAAGCTTTTGGGAGGATGATGTGATTCACATCGTCTGCCTTGCTGGGCCATGGCGTGTGCGGAGGCACCTGTGAATTTTTCAGCCATGCATTGGATCAAGTGACAAATTTGGGGCAACCAATTTGATGACATGGGTGTTCAGACCGTAGAAAAATCCAACAGATTTGCTATGAGTAATTTATGACTTGTAAAGTCTCCCTACACTTTGCCCGATTTCATTTTTCACCCTACATTATAATATCAGTGCCTTTTGTTTTGCACCCTCAACTTTTAAAACTGGATAAATAATTCCCTAAACCAAATTTCATGATGGTTTTGATTATATTAGTTTTATGGTTGTGGACCCAATAAATAACAAACTATGCATAATAAAAATCTAAATTAAACCTTTATTACAATAGGGTGTTATTTATTCGGTTTAAAGGTTTTTGTCTCTTTTTTTGGGTGGGTGGGTGTTTTTTTTTTTGCGCACGCGGGGGGTGGGGGGTGGTGGGTGCGCTGTGTTGTCTAAAAAACTACTAATTTTTGTAGGTTAGGGTGGAAAATGTATTAAAAATAACATATAAGGGCTAAAAAATAGAGTTTACCATTAAAAAAGGCATATTTTCTTTACATTCAAACCGTAAAAAAATTTCATCTAAATCGTGAAATCCAACACAAAATTTGTAAACATATTGTAGAATACAGTCGTTGTGACAAGGTCAAGGCCTCAAGGGAACTCTTACATGGCGTCAGCGGGATGAAGCACTACTGATCAAGACAAAGTTGATGTGAAATTCGATTTGGATAGATACATGATGGGTACATATAGACCAAAGGAGAAGGTAAAATGTGAGACATGCTTTAGGAAGAAAATCAAGGTTTCAGAATTATTTTTTTTCTCTTTTGTCCAGGATTTAGTTCGTGGAATTAGAGAAGAGTGACATGGTTGTACTCTGCAAATACTTTGATGCAGCTAAGGAAAATGTTCTAATTAATCTCCGTATCTTGTCATATATATTGTTATTCGTTTCTCTCAGTTTTGGCTCCATCTATGATTTTTGTGTCCCAATGCGAAGCTTTGTATATCCAACAACTTTACTAGGACATTAGAATAAGAGTTTCAAAGTTTATACGTATGTATATAAACAAACATACATATATATATATATAATTTTTTTATATGTATACAGTTATAATGTATAAAAAAATATATACACATGTACAAAGTTTGTATATATACGTATTAAAAAAACTAAAAAAAAAAACAAGAAATAAATTATGAAAAGAAACAGAAAAGAAAAAAAAAGGAAAAGGCGCGCCGTCCGCTCTACGCACGCCACGTGTCCTAGTCATGGTGGGGGTGGGGGAAGGGTCATGTATATATGTATATATGTTATGTTGCTTGCAGCTGAAATCGGTGATGAGGCTAATAAACCGGACGGATTTCGGGCTTTCGGCCACTTCGTTCTGGCCTTCTGGGCTTCGACTGCGATCATATCTGACTCGCCCATGGCAAAGGCAAACAACTCGCTGGAGGCTAATTAATTAGTGAAACTAAGGTGATTAATTGCTCCTCTTGATGCATGGTTGCCAGCCGGGAGGAACGTATTTCCAGAGCAAGAAAGGGAGGCAGGTGACGCGATTAAGAGACGGTACTCTTGTCGAGAGATTAGCTAGTGCGGTGAGAGAAAATAGATAGATATTTCCTCCATCCCATATTAGTTGTCGTTCTAGATAATTTAGCATAGGTTAAGATTTGAGAAAAAAACTATTGTACCCTCTATTAAATATTATATGGTTGGATATAAGAGGGTGGTTAGGGGCAGAGAAAAGAGAAATTTGAATTAGAAGTGATTGATGGACCGGGACAAGTAGTAGTTTATTGTGACAACTATTTTAGGACAAAATTTGAATTTTAAAGATAAAAATAATTTGGGACAGAGCGGAGTATGGACTAACTCCTTCCTAAGATAAAATTACCCCTTTGAAATAGTAATACGCCGTTGAGTATATTGGGCCACCCCAATATACGCCGTGGATCATGTCTAGTACATCCGTGCATTTATTTTTTCGAGGAGTATAGAAGCAAATCTTACAAATGTATATATAGCTTACAAAAATATGTGCATGGATTAATTATACATACATATATAGTCCGTTACATGCATATTGAATAATTAAAAACAATATATTTAATTACAGCAAAATTAACCAGCAACTAATACAAATGACATTATTAGATAATAGCAGATAGCACACAACCAAAAAGAAAAGAAAGAAAAAAAATAACCGAGGGTGATCGATTATATTATGATCCACATGAAGGAAACGATCGAGATGGTGCGGGCATACATGCCCTTGATGGCTTAAGATAATCAGAGTCCAAAGAGACCATCGATCACCGGCCACCAGTACTATTTGATCATGTCGATCGGATGACCTAAACGGAAAAGAGTATATATGTCGGTGGTTATTGTTGAATTAGGACCAGTACGGACTGACCCGTCTTTCTCTTTTTCCACAAGCTGGAACTGGATATTATAGATGTCTCCAAGCTCCCGATGCGCCATGAGGAGCCAAACGAAGGTGAGCAGCTCCCCTCCCATGCTCAGCCGCCGTGCGTGCTGGGACTTGCCCGCCGCGTAGATCAGCAGCCGCACCCAGATCTGCAACATTACTTGCAGCGCTGCATGCAAACCCTTCCAACCCTGCTGCAACATGTCATCAGGAGGTGCTGCCCTGAAGTCCATGAATGGTTGGTCCCACGAGTACTCACCGCTAGCCACTGTCTCAAGAAACTGCTCCTTGCTGGAGGTACGTGCATAGCCGGCATCGTTCAAAACCAATGCTAACAAATCATACACATTGCGTTGAACAGGCAGCATGGCAGGCTGCGTGACCAGCAGGAAGAACATGTAGTCAGATATCACCTCGCATGTATGCATCAGGGAATGTACCTCTTTCTCTTGAATATCATCATCCCTCCCGCTGCTCCTAATTGTATCTAATTATATGCTTACCTTGTACAAGTACATGTCAGTGTAGAGGTGCATCATGAACAAGGTTTCCTCAAAGGAGGAAGCAGCTTGCGCAAAAAACAATTGAGGAGACAAGTTTAGAGGTTTCTTCTACTTGTTATTATCAATTTCTTGGTGGATAAGCTCCTTCATTTCATCGGTGACTGGACCATGCCTAGTGTGCCGAAAGTTACTCCACACCTCCTTAGCTCCAACAATGGCCATCATCTCCTCGGTTATCCTCGACTTGCCATCAGCCAGGCGGGAGCTCATAAAGTTATACTGCCCTAATGAGTTTGACCACCATAGCCTTTTCTCTGGATGGATACTCGGCAACATAGATGAACATGATGACCTACAGGTTGCTCGGGTGAGCAAACTGCTGTTGCATCCTCCACCTCGAGCTTCCATGGATGCCCACGCTCTCGGTGAAACCATGGCAATGATGATGGCGCAAGCCTCCAAGCAAAAAGCTCCTACAAATAACATATAGGTTATTGCAACATCAACTCCAATTGAGTTGTAATACCTTTGCTTGCTGCCACTCATCAGGATGAAGAGAACAAAAGCCACCACTGTGGAGGTGAGGGAGACACAACGAAGGATGGTGCCCTTCCCTGTTTGAATCACTTTGGCTTTCGTGTAGAGCTCATCATACATCATGCTAAGCTCCATTTCTGCCGTCTTGAAAGTTAATTGTGCATCGAGAGACTTTTTGAAAGAAAAGTTTCCAGATGGTTACCTTCTAGAAAATACCTCCCGAAGACCTGGCATGCACTTAAGAGCACGCTGCACAGTCGATGCCGGTTTGGTTACCTGAATTCCGTCTTCTTCGTCATGTGCTAATTTCTTCAAAGCTGCGACATAAGAGCTACTAATAGAACTCTTGAGACTTTCCTGGCTACCACACTTGAGCGCCCATATCCTCTCCCCATACTTGATGACCCCAGCGACAGATAAAAATGCAGCCGGGACAACAGGTAGGTTATGTGCCATGGAATACCACATCACATACACAACTAAGCATACCTGAACTATCATATTTAGCAAGTGCCTTGACCACAACTCATTATCCTCAATGGCAAATGCAGTCACAGTGTCTTGCCCACCTAGGTGTACGAGAAAGAATGGTGCCCACAAGAGTGTGAAATCATGATGGCTTTGGCTTGGCAACAAGGTTTTTCCAAGGCATGTTTGGTAGCATATATGGTCATTTGTAGTGGTGGGTAGATGCCGTGAGAGGTAGCCTAGTGCATATACAGCTATGAAATCCGCTGACAGGTAAGTCAACCATAGGAAAACTCTAAGCCACACTCGGCTGGTACGGCGGCGAAGGCCACCAAAAAAGAAGAGGAGCAATTGCAAGGCAAAAGCTCAGGAGCACCAATATCTGGATTTCCCAATCTTTGAACTGTTGCACAATGGTCTTAGTATCAACTTGTTCCATGCCTCCAAAACACTCTGTATACTTGAATCTGTAAATTAACCAGGTTTAATTTCAATTAGTGCACCATATATGAATGTGTTTGAGCTAGCTAAACATGTTACCTAGCTAAGCGTGTAAATATGATGGTATATACACCTATAAATCACGCATGTCAATTAAATCTTAATTCATGTCTATGTACTTTGTTCAAATTAAAAACCTCTCCTAGCAATGATTCAGATTAGGAAAAAAATCCACTTCACTCCCTTAGACCTGTACATGACCCCATAATGTACGTATATTTCCGGATCAGTTTACTCTCCAGAATTAATAAAACTAGCTCGTTTCCAGCATACATGCATAGATTTAGGTAATAGTTTTCAAGCTAGGGTTGTAGCTGTTCAACAACTTTTATGTCTTTCTTATACACTTCTGCACAGTTGTATCTCTTATGCTGTTGTTGCAACGCTACAATATGTACTAATATGAATTACTGTAATATGGACCCAAATGATCAACATGGCATCCATGTATTTTACTCTCTTTTTTTCCCGATTAATTAATGTAGTAATTTCACCCTCAAAGTGAAAATTGTGTGCCATATTTTAGCCCTCTCTCAATAATACAATAATAAATTGCTCACTTTATTCCCTAAAAAAATATCTTTTTTCTTTCTCTCTATACAAGTTATATTCTAAGATCAACATTACAAGTAGCATAAATTGCAATATTATAGTATCATATCTTAAATCTCAACTTATTTTTGGAGTTTTTAATCACTATTTGCATAGGTTCTAGTTTAAAAATCAAGATTTAAAAATGTGTGCAAACTGCAATCTTTTTTAAAAAACCATTTTGTACACAGGATGTTAATTGTCACTATAGTTGTACACAAATTCAACTTAAAATATGCTTCTATAAGTTGGCCTTTTCAGTAATTTGGGGATAACATGAGCCCATTAATAGTTAAATGGTTTAAGTGCTCAAGCTAAATAGTTTGAGAAAATGGGACAATTCCTCTAGCATGGCGTATCAAACTTTTCTATCGTATGCACATTAAAGTATACGTTCATGACATATTACTATTTTATTAATAGGACCATCTTTTGATTCTATAGAGTGTATTTTGATTTCAAAGGTCTTCAGAATTAAAACTTAATTTGACATTGATTTCTATAAAATATACTCCCTCCGTCCCTAAATATTTGACGCCATTGACTTTTTTTAAATATGTTTGATCGTTAAAAACTTTTGTGAAATATGTAACACTATATAGTATATATAAAAATATATTTAACAATGAATCAAAGGATAGGAAATGAATTAATAATTACTTAAATTTTTTTTAATAAGACGAACGGTCAAACATATTTAAAAAAGTCAACGGCATCAAATATTTAGGGACGGAGGGAGTATAATATTAGTTGTTCTAGTATCGCACAATAAATATATACGATGAATCCCTTGGTATAATGTGGATACGATAATTTTTTTGGGATTTGACTAACTTTTGATTAAAATATGTTACAAAGTTTGACTTTTAAAATTAAAATATGTAAAATCGCTGAAGGGGTTACAACACATTCATCAAACCGTCTAGCTGCAGTTTGTGTCTCGACTTTCCGTTCGACTAGATGATGATGAGACGCAGTCAATGACGACGCGCGCCCTGACCCCGACCGCCCAACCGGCCGGCGAGCAGCGACCGCCAAGCTAGGTCGAGCGCCTGCCTCCTCGACGGCTCGACTCGTTTGACTGTAAGTTGAGAGCTGAGACTGTGAGTAGATCGTAAATTCATAATTTGAATCAAATTACGATTGCCATAACTTGAATGGTCGATTGAATCAAAAGTAATGTGAATGTTTGATTCAAATTAAATTATTTTTCTTTTATTTATAAAACAGGAAGATGCTTATTTCCTCAATTCTTATTATATATATCATGCCTGCTAGAAATAAGAAGTATGATCCTATTGCTGAAAAGCGTTAGAAGAGATAGACTAGAAGCAGCAACCAATATCAAACCAGATGCTAGTGTTGATGATGGTCATGGTGATGATGCGGTAGATATTGAGGCTAATGCTGGAGAAGATTAATTATGAAAATATAGTAGAAGATTTCATTCCAAGAAATACTTGAAAAATGATGCTTTTTTAGAAATTACTATATATTGGAACTAGCAATATATAGGGTCAGATTAAGTTCGGGTGGAGTGAGAGCATACCCAATCTGAGACTCAAAACACCTATAGCACATCCATGCCTAAAATTTTAACCATGCATGCCTACACTCGTTGAATACCGGTTATCCATTGGGTACAGGTGGGTTTTCTTTTTACGCATTTACTGATACCTATGGGTTTTTCAACAACATCATGTAATACATCTATTCATAGGTATAGAACATCACAATTACTAGCTAGTGTAAAACCACAAACAATCAATAACATAAGTTACTGTAATTCGTAACTATTAAGTATATACCAAAATCCATAATTCTACACCTATAAGTTAGTTCAACATCAAATAATTATTAGCCTATTACTTTGCTGCACTTATTGAATGTTTTATTTAGTGTTGACACGCAATCTTCCAAAAATCACCAATGAACATGTATGTTGGTTATTCATGGGTTACACAGTGATATAGAATAAAACCCACGACACGTCCGAAATATCTCTATGTGAAACAAGTAGAACTTTTTTTTAAGGAGCCATCATCATGTACTTCTGTATTGAAAATCTTTTTTAAAGATTTGAAATACAAATTACTCCCTCTATTTCAAAATATAACTTCTAACATTCAAAATTTGCTCCAAATTATAACAACTTCTCTATCTACATTATATTCTCAACCAATCGCAAACTCCTGACATTTAATTCCATATACTTTCTTAATACCCACGTTTAAGCTTAAAACTTCCTATATTTTAGGACAGAGGTAGTATTCTAAAATATTATTATGTAAAATATCAATAAAATATTCTGGTCGCTGCTACAATATGCTCCCCATCAACAAGTATAGGCATTCCTACTAGAATTTGTCCACGCTACTCCAAAATGAATTTTTTTTTACATCTTGCTTTTTTTTACAAACAGACTAAAAGACGATCCGCGTGTAAAAAGGTTTGAGAGGTATCTAGTAAAGACAAGTATGTGAAATTCATGGCATAAATATAAAACTTCATGGCACATTTTTACTGTTCATACTTTGCATCGACCCCTTCCTTATATTATTCTTCTTACTAGGACCGCATTTAATGATCGACATTGTTGCAAAATAAAACCTAAATTGTTTGGCTTTCCTTCCACTTTAATCTTTGCTAAAAGGCGATAAGGGTGCTTATATTTATGAGTGGAGGGAGTAGAAATCTAGTGAAGTTTAGTATTCATCACTAATTACGTCACTTTGAGCGTGGGTTAAGGTAGAGGGGATGGCAGGGTGCACACATGTGCAAGATGTACACACAAGTGTGTGTTAAATAATACTACTATATATATATATATATATATATATATATATATATGAAATTAAAATTGGGAGAGCTCGTGGAAGTGGAAGTATCCATGGAACTCGATGGAGGCATACCTGCGTAATTCACCTTGAAGTGTCAGCTCTCTTCAAGTGATCCGCATACTTTGGAATTAATTGATACGTGGATCTGCGCCTATGTATTACTCCTTGGAGTAGTAGTTATTATATAGGCAGATTATGATGTCCTCTCTGAGAATATATGTGGCAGCTGACAGCAAGCATTGGCAAGTTAACCTTTATTCCTTTCTTGTCAACGCTTGTCAATGCTTTAATGATCATGGATCATCATGGGTGCATGAGGAGTAGTAGCAGTAGCATTGCTCCGTGCACATATTTACGGATGCGCTTACTCTTACTCCCTCCATCCTATCTAATAAATTCAAGTTTTAAAATATTTGACCAACAATTGATATAATATGAATTTTATTTGATGAAAATAATATCATTGGATTGATATTTGAATTTAATTTCATATATATAATTTTATTGCTATAAACCTTATAGTGTATGAGAAACTATAAGCTAAAGAATAGTTTTGATCTGTATCGAGTTTGATCGTGTCTTTTATATTATGTTTTATATTATGAGACAGAGGGAGTACGACATTAGTATACATTGTTGGATTAATTGATCTTGTAATTGGCAATGTTCGAGCTGCAGACAAAAGATGCTAGGTGCTTCTTGAACATCACTGCTCGTCGTAGCACATATGCCTTACCTAATGTCAAAGTTATACTGGCACTGCGCCTCTTTTATCTACTCACGGGAAAGAAAAGGGCCAGATGTGCCCATGACTACTATCCCTGTTCTAAAATATAAATAATTTCTAGGTTGGTATGGGTATTAATAAAAGTAAATAAAACTTATTAGAAAATAATTGTGATTGGTTGAAAAGGAAAAGTATGTGAAAAAAATAAATGGAGAATGGTTGTGATTGGTTGTAAGGAATGATATGTGAAGAAATAGAACTTCATTTGATAAAAATAGCTGCATTTTAAAATAGATGTAGTGGCTTCTCTATGCAGTGTGGTTAAGACTAATCCGTGTCTAGAGGATTGGTTACTTAAAAAAGAAAGTGAAATATGGTGGGACATGATATATGGGGCCCTAAAGCGTGAAGTGTCGCAAACATCTACTTAACCCACTCTCCATCACCATATATATGCATTCGTCCTAAAATATAAGAAAATTTGATTGGATGAGACACATCGATCCTACTATAATAAATCTGGATTATGAGTTATTTTACCAGCCTACATATCTTACCTAGGGAAAAGTGAATCCTGAAATGCAATTAGAATGAGCCATGTATTTTGAGGGTGTTTGGATCTTTTAATCCCTAGACTAAAATTAGTCCTAGAACTAAAAACTTTAGTCTATATCTGTTTGGATGTAAGGACTAAAAGTGACTAAAGGTCATTAAATACACTATACAAAGACTATGTTACCTCTAAAACTATGCCACCGCAAGACCATCTCCTGCCCATGGCTGCCGCCTTCTTCTTTACAAAGCATCATTCTATCAGGTTGCAAAACAAGTTGCAGAACATCACTGCTGTCCTCATCGCAAAACAGGTTTGGATCATCACTCTACCAGGTCAGTCACGCATGAACAGGTGGAGAAAACAGAAATACAAATCACAAGTTCCCGAAATATGAACATAAGTACTTCTATCGCGTCTCACCCCCGGGCAAGGAGAGCGCGACGGGGCGACGGTGGATCTGCTGCCAGGTGAATCGGAGGTAACCCATGGCCAGCCGATTGAAAGATCTGCTAGTAGGAGGCGAACTCGGGGAAGGCGTCGGTCTGAGAGTACAGATCCAGGCCCCCAGATCCCCTCCCCCAAAAATGGAAACCGGCGCCAGATCCAGCTTGGCCTGACGACCCCTGCGAGAAGCCATACTTGAAGGCGTCGATGGCGGCCGCCAGGTGATGTGTGTACGACTGGGAGAAGAAATCCACTGTGTCTTCCTCATTGCCTGCCATGGCTGCCGCACGACTCGCGGTGGCTTACACGAGCAGCGGCGGCTTCCACGACACCGGCAGGGCTTGCGTGGGGCAGAGGCTGGGCTTGCGCGAAGCAGCGGCGGGAGCTTGCGCAGGGAGGCGGCGGCGGCGGCGGCGGCGTGGGGTCGAGTGGAGCAAAGACAGAGACGAGGAATGGGAGGATAGGGTTGTGCGCGGGAGCAGTGGGGGAAAGAAACGATTTTAATTCCTATAAGCTCCTCCCACAGGGACTAAGGTGGTGTTTGGATCCAGGGACTAAATTTTAGTTCCTGTCATATCGGATGTTTGGACACTAATTAGAAGTATTAAACGTAGACTAATAATAAAACTAATTGCATAAATGAGAGCTAATTCCCAACACAAATTTTTTAAGCCTAATTAATCCATAATTCGCACATGTTTACTGTAGCATCACATAGGCTAATCATGGATTAATTAGACTAATTAGATTCGTCTCGCGAATTAGTCTAAGGTTATGGAATAGGTTTTATCATTAGTCTACATTTAATACTTCTAATTAATATCCAAACATCCGACGTGACAGGGCTAAAATTTAGTCCATAGATCCAAACAAGCCCTAATGGACTAATGTACTTTTAGTCCATTTTAGTCACCTGTTTGGGATTTTAGGGACTAATGGATTAGTCCCTTCAACTAAACAGGCCCTTAGTTGAACCGTAGCTGTTGGATTAAGAAAGCTGGTTGTTCGATTAGGGGTGTGTTTCGTTCCCAAAAAATTTTGGCCAAAAATATCACATCAAATGTTTGGACATATGTATAGAGCATTAAATGTGGAAAAAAAACCAATTGCACAGTTTGCATGTAAATTGCGAGACGAATCTTTTGAGCCTATTTGCGCCATGATTTGACAATGTGGTGCTATAATAAACATTTGCTAATTATAAATTAATTAGGCTTAATAAATTCGTCTCGCGGTTTACAGGCGGAATCTGTAATTTATTTTGTTATTAGTCTACATTTAATACTTCAAATATGTGTACGTATACTTACAAAAATTTTGGCTAAAGAACTAAACACGGCTAAGATAGGGAGAAAAAAGTCAACGACATGGGCCCCAAAAAAGTCAACAACCCAAACTCAACTATATACATGCCTTAATTTAGCCTGTGGACTTAACTAAATACGTCCTCCGTCCTAAAATAAGTGCAGCCATAGTTTTTCGCGCCCAACTTCGACCGTTCGTCTTATTTAAAAATTTTTGAAAAAAATTAAAAACATAAGTCACGAGTAAAGTACTATTCATGTTTTATCATCTTATCAGAACAAAAATGCTAATTATAAAAAAATTTCAAATAAAACGGACGATCAAAGTTGGGTGCATAAACTCATGGCTGCACTTATTTTAAGACAGAGGTAGTACGAATTACCATTGTTTCTTTACCTGCATGCTAACGGACCCAAGATACAAGCCAATACGAACGATGGTTTTCACTGGGGGAAAATCCAAATAAGCCCTTACAAGTCAATGGTCTTTCAATCTCCCCCTACAACTTAATTTGGTGCGAAACACTCCCCATAAGTCTATTTTCCCTTCAAACTTCCCACCTGTATCTAGTTTTTTTGGGTGATTTTTCTCATCACGCTAAGGCTGTGTTCGCATGCACCTTTTCCCATCCCCTCTCCTTCGTTTTCCGCGCGCACGCTTTTCAAACTACTAAACGGTATGTTTTTTGCAAAAAGTTTCTATATGAAAGTTGCTTAAAAAAATCAAATTAATCCATTTTTAAAAAAAAAAATAGCTAATACTTAATTAATCACGTGTTAATGGACCGCTCCATTTTCCGTGCACAGGAGAGTTAGGTTCCCCATCTCCCCCATCCGAACTCAGCCTAAGTGATTTTTGGATCTCTAGTGTGGTGACCAAAGATGTCCCATGTGCCTTCTCTTGTTAGGAATAGGATTTAATACACCAGTAGTATGTACGTGTTTGTCGTCGTGGTTTTACCGTCATACCACTGGTGGAATAAAAGCATGCAAAGAGCAAAAGGTGAAAGGAGGTCAAAGTACACCCATTTGGTGTCAAGGAACAACTTCGTTCATCACAACAGAGACCTATGGGGCCTGAGATGGGAAGTTGGAAGTGAAAAAAAAAACTTGTAGGGAGTGTTTTGTACCAAATTAAGTTGTAGGGGGGAGATCGAAAAGACCAGTGATTCATAAAGGGGTATTTGTATTTTTCCCCTTTCCAAAGCGTCGCTCCATATTTTGACGGGAAATTTAACTATTTTCCACTTTTAGTTTGGCGATTATCCAAATACTCTTTTTAGGTTTGCAATTTTTTTTGCCCTTCTTAAAAAGTGGTCTCTTTAACTATTTGCCACTTTTACCCACGTGGCATACCAACATGGCAACCTAGAGTAAAAAATGGTGTGGGACCCACTTGTCAGTCTCTCCCTCCCCTTTCATCCCTACCCCCCGCGTCCACCACCCCCATCGACGCCGGCACCGCCTCGCCGCTGACTACCGATGGCGCCGCCTCATCCACCCACCCCGAGCTACAGAGGCGCAGGCCTCCACTCCCTGTTGCGCTGCCTTCGACGCCAACACCGATCCGCTGCTCTACACGCCAGTGTCGCCCCGCTGCCGACCACCGATGGCGTCACCTCGTAGCCGACGCTGTGAGGCCTCTCGTCACCTCCCACCATTGGAACCCCTCGGCAACTCTTGTGTGAGAGGTCGTCACCGGCCGCTGCTTGGGCCTACGGCGATGGGGATGACGAGAAGGAGGAGGAGGGGGAAGACCGCATAAGCAGCCTCCCCGTCAAGGACGGCGCCCGCACCGCCGTGTTGTCCCCATGCTGGCGACCTCCACGCCGCTCATCCTCAACGGCGCTGACCTCCTCCCCGACGACGGCGGCGGCCGCCCCAAATTCTCTGGTGCGACGTCGCAAACGCCGTATCTCGCGTCCTCGCCACGTACCCTGACCCGTTCCAGTGCGTCCGCCCATGGTGACGGTGCTCCTCCTTCTCATCTCCCTCGTCGTCCTCCACTCCCACCTCTACTCGACCGCGAGGTGGGGCCATCGGTGGTCAGCGGCGGGGCAGTGCTGGCGTCGATGGGGGCCGTGGACGAGTAGGGGAGAGATGAAGGGGGAGGGAGAAACTGACGAGTGGGTCTGTGAGTCTCACACCATTTTTCACTCTAGGTTACCATGTTGGTATGTCACGTGGGTAAAAGTGACAAATAGTTAAGAAATCATCTCTTAAGAAGAGAAAAAAAATAACTGCAAAGTGGCAAATAGTTAAATTCCCCTTTTTTGACCGACCATGGATCACGAACCGTCGGCTTGTATCTTTGTAAAGGAAAACTGAAATTTGCACAGCCCTGTGCAAGAAAATTCCGCGGATGGTGCATTTTAGATGTTTGAGGATAAGCACTGTGTATCATCCAGGAGGCAGGAGAGGAAAGACAGTCGACATGTAAAGCTGTAGATGACTGGATTATGGTCGGCTATATAAAGCTTTCTTGAAAGATATGTACTCCCTCCGTCCCATAATATATTAATATAAGGGATTTTGGAGGGATGTGACACTTCCTAGCTAGTATTACAAATCTGAACATATTTTTTCTCTAGATTCGTAGTACTTAAAAAAATGTCACATCCCTTCAAAATTTCTTATATTATAGGTCGGAGGGAGTAGTAACTAAGATCGTTGTTGCGTGAATGCCAAGTATATTCAGGTTTAGCAAGTACTCCTATTGATGCTGAATTCATGAGATGATTGGCTTGAAAGACACAAACGACAGTAAATCAGAAGGAATTTTGTTCCTGCATAGCATCAATTTTAGGCCGGTGCACATTTGAGATGGCCTGAAAAATATATAGCAGAAGTCCATGTATGATGCCAAGATCTGATGAGCTTTCTTCATGGTACTGAGAAAGCAAATCTACCTGAGACAGTTGGAGATTTTTTTTTTCTGTTGCCTGTGACTATTACAAGCATACTCTTTTTTTTTCGATTGAAAGGTGAATCTTCTTTCTTTCTTTGGCCATAACAATGCTAATAGTCTGCTGTAATACGCCAACGAAAATTCAGCATCACGAGGCTGTAATAGTCTGCTGCTCAGTTCTCACTACGGATTTGAGGTGTAGGTCAAATATCTTCAATTCGATAGATACCAAGATGTGAAATAACACAATACAAAAGTAGTATTTGCCTTTTCTTTAGGGGAACAATGCATCCGAAATGCATGAAAAATGCTCAAGTCGGGTCATAACTCAAACTAGATTGTAGTATGATGATGTTGCTACCTACAAGTTTTTTTTTTTTACTGAAGATGTAAGTAAACTATCTGACAGCAAAATAGATGCAAATTGAAACTAAAACAAATTGTGCAGAGTATAACACGCCCTTGGTGACCTTGGATAAGCAGCGTACAGTAGAGAGTAATGCCGATATTTGGTTTCGTGTCACGTCAGGAAAATCCATGGTCGGCTGCCGTTTGCGCCTCTCCTTGTACGATTTAGGCCCATCTGTTGTTGTCGTGTCAACGCAGATTGAGACTGCTTGAAATGGATTTATCTCATTCAGATTCCGATGACTTGGTCTGGATTTTTTTTTTCTGTACAGTTAGACTGCAATTGTTAGATTGGTTGAAGCATCCTTTCAAGAGCACAAAAGAACAACAGTATGGCCTTCAGGGAGAAACATTTACATTTACAGTCGCAAGATCCTTTAGAACACCGGAATTTTACAGGAGTTCTGTGTCCTTTGAAACACAGAATTTTTACAAGATTTTCATTGGAATTAGTTTTTTTTTCAGAAATTTGGTTAATGAAGTAGACTGACGATGGTAACCAAATTTCAGAAATTTGGTTCATAAGCACATACGAGTAGGGAGTAGGGACATAATGGATGAATGTGCACTCATGGCAATCCCAGGATTATCAGGAGCTGCTTATGTTACAAATGCACATTAGTAGTACTAGCATACATGTATGATCATACTCCAGAACCAATCTGCACTCCAGAAGAATTCTATTCATCTCTGTCTAAGGCATCAACCACCCTAAACATTTTGCTAGTCTCAGTCATCACTCATCAGTAAATATCAGACACTAGCACAAGAGACATTTATACACACGTTACAGTACTTAGCTGGTGAGCTGTTACCTTGCAGCTCAGTAACTAGATAAGAATCTGTTTGATTCAGTGAGTGGTTATCTTTCCCTGTGGAGCAGTTTTGAGCTCCTAAGAAACTCAACTAGAGATCCTCAGTAAAAACAACCCAAACTAGAGATTTCCAGTAAACTAGTAAGTAGTTCTCTCATTCAACTTCAAGCAGGTCTCCGGCGATAATACTGCAGCGACCACTGAGTTAGTAGCTCGCGAGTCAAGATCTTGATTAGTTCGACCACTAACTGCAATAGACAAACAAAAAAGGGCATGTAAGAAGCCAATGTATTTAGGAATTTGTTACAACTATTAGAGCTCGTCAAAAATTCTTACCTCTACAATTATCAATTGCAAGCTTGGACAGGCCTTGTTGGTGTGATGCCTTTCTTCTCTTCCTCGTCGTGCGGTAGGACGGTCTCAAAAGCCTGGACAAGAAGCTCCACCTTCTTCTTTCGAGCAGGGCCTAAATTATTCACAGCTCGCCGAAGTGCATAGTCAATCATCCATTCTTCAGCATTCTTGCGCTCATCCATCATCTGATGCTTGAGGTCCACCTTTTCTGATTCTGGGTCCAGTTCAAGAGGAAGAAAATTTGGAGCCCTTGGGTTAAAACCTCTCAAATATTCCTCCTCTTCCGGTGTTCTCCTCCTCCTAGCAATGATCAATCTATTCCCCGGACAAGTCATGGACTCAGTAGGATCAAGATATGCATCTCCTTTGAGGTGCATCCCGCTGAATGCGTTGCATATGTCATCAAGGGACGATTCTTTTGCAACAGAATCTTGGTTCTGGGGCTCTTCAGCACTGAAGTTATCGCTGAACTCTGGTATTAGCATATTGGATGATTGATTATTTTCCTCACTACTGCAAAGTTCTTCAGAGTCATCTAATATAGAGACAGTAATCTCTTTTTGAGCACTGCCATTCAGATCTGTGGTGTTAACGTGTCCATCATCCTCTTGATGCACAGTAGTTCCTTCAGAAGCACCTCCAGATTCACTTGTGTCAAGCTCTCCTTCCTTCTGAGCACCAGAATTGATACCTACAGAATAGTCTTCTTCATGACCATCTTGAGTAGGATCTGATTCTTCATGAGCATCTTCTGATGCACTTGCGATAACCACGGATTCCTCTAGAGCACCATGATTTTGAATAGTTTTTTGGGTAAAATGACATTCTTCAGATGTTGCCAATTCACATGTTTGCTCAGGTTCATTTTGAGCATCATCTCTGACACCTGTAGAGTTATCATCAGCTTCTTGAGCAATAACATTTTCTTCATAATCAACTTGCAATTGGCATGTGGTTATCACGGTTGCCTTTTGAGAATCATCATCACTGAAATATCCAGCATTATCATCTTGACAGGTTTCTTCAGCAATACCAGACTGTTCAGTGACATCAGAAGAGCCTTCAATCAACTCACTTGTGCCAATCCCCAATTCCATTTGGGCACCAGCAGCGAGTGGTGTAGAGTTATCATCAAGAGTGGTTTCTTGAGCGGTATCAGATTCTTCAGAAGCATCTTCTGTTGTTTGTGTGGTAATATCTGGTACCATTTGAGCTCCATCATTAAAGCATGCCGAGTTACCTTCTTGGCTGCTTTCTTGAGCGATACCAGAACCTTCAGAAGCATCTTGCAAGTCGCACAAGAATACACCCAGTTCCATGTTAGCATCTTCTGTGCAGTCCACAGGATCATCACTATTAGCTTCTTGAATACCAACTTCTTCGGAGGCAACTCTGAATTCTCTCATTCCAATATCCAATTCCTTCTGAGAGTCATCATAGCCATCTGCACGGATGTCATCTTGATCAAATGCTCTGTCTGCTGTGCTGTCATCTTGATGAAATGCATTGTCTGCAGTGCTGCTGTCATCTTGCTCAAAGGCATGGTTCTCCACTGGTTGTTTTTGCATTTCAACATGTAGGGAAACAATCGCACCGGAGTCAGAAATTTCACCTTCGGAGACATATTTTGAAGTGACTTCCTCGGAGAAATCCTCTTCGCACCCAAAACCAGAGATGATCTCCTCAGATATCTCCATTTCAGATCCACCATCATCCTGCGTGTTCTCTTCATCTTCCACATTCGGATGCTCGGCAACCTCTGAAATGCTTTCAGACTCCATGTTGGTCCCATCGCCGCCTTCGTCCTGCTCCATTGAAGTCTCCTCTTTGCAGCACTCATCAGGGATATTATCCGCCGTCTCTGCTAGTTCCTGCTCAGGAATCCCCAATTTGCAGACAGCAGCAAAGTTTTTCTCTTCTTGCATCTCTTGTTCTCTACAAACCTCGGTTTGATGTGCCGCATCCAGGATGTTGTCTTCACTGACTCTCTCCTGCTCCTCACAAGCCTCAACTCTGAAATCAACACCTTCATGCTCCGACGCGATCTCCGATTCACAGGCAAAATCTGAGATGTTTTGCTCATCATTTTCTTCCTGTTGTTGAGCAGCCTCATCTTCGCACCCATCTCCCAATCTACCTGATGTGCCCTCTTCTTCTTGATCTTCTTGAAATTCAGAAACAACTGCTCTAGTGATCTCCTCGTCTCTGATCCCGTGTTCGTCTGAAAATTCACCATCCAAGCTATCATCCTCATACCCCTGGTACCTGATCCACGGCAACTCCTCGACGAATTCGCCGGAGGTCGACGCGTCGCTGCACTCCGACGTGCTGTCTCTGAAGGCACCAAACCTCTCCTCCGGCCTCGCCTCGCCGTCATCGTCGCCGCCGTCGCCGCAGACATCGAGGTCGTTCTTCCCCTTCTCGTCGGACTCGTCGGCGCCGCACCGGTCGAAGACGACGAACTCCATCTTCCTCACCGTGGCGTCCATCTCGTCCAGGGACATGTCGCTGCAGCTCATGTCCGTGCTCACACGCGGGCCGGCGTACACCTCCACGAAGAAGTCGCCGAGCGCCTCCTCGTCGATGAGCGGCGGCGGCGGCGCCACCCTCGCGCCGCCGCCAGCGCCGTTGGTGTCCTCCGGCCTCTGGTGGGCGGCGCCCTTGCGGAAGGCGGAGACGCCCCTGAGCTTCATGCTCTGCTGCGTCTTGATGAGCCGGCGGCGCGACGCGAGGAAGCTCCGGAGCGGCACCGCCGGCGAGTGGGCGTGGCCGTTGAGGGAGCAGTAGGTGTAGGGGCAGACCCGCGTCGCGGCGGGGCCCTCGGCGTCGGTGGCGCCGGGGGCGAGGTCGAGCGCGTCGGGGAACTTGGCCTCCTTCATCGTCGACGAGCACGTCGCCCTGCCCAGCCCGGCGCTGGCGGCGGCGGCGGCGGCGGCCGACACCTTCGGGAACAGCACCTTCCCCCTCGCCACCACCCGCACCGGCCTCCGCCGCGGCGACGCCGACGACGCCGCCCCGCGCCCGACCTTGGCGTCGGAGCTGCTCGTCCCCCTCATGTAGTTAGGCACGGACGCCGGCGTCAGCGACGTCGCCGCGCCCTCGCGGTTCCTCGGCCTGCTCCCCCCACCGCCGCCGCCGCCGTCGTCCCGGAAACCCCTCTTCTTGGCCGACGACGGCGGCGGCGTCATCAGCGGGTCCTTGGGCTTCTTGTGCACCTCCTTGCTCCGCACCATGGCTCACCGCCCTCCTCCTTGGATCGATTTCTCTCGGATTTCTTGGCTTGTTAGACTTGCAGGTTTGCTTGTCGCTCTTGGCTTCTCTCTTGGGTTGGACGGCGGCGGCGAGAAAAGCAAAGCAAAAGAAGAAGAAGAAGAGAGGTTTGGATGGAGATGGAGTAAGAAGAAAGAAGAAGAAGGTGTTGATGGATTAGTGGAGGGGATAATAACAAAGAGAGATGGGAGTACAAAATTGACAAGGAAAGCAAGGGGAGGGAGGGAGGGAGAGTGGGTGGGCGGCTCAAAGGTGGCATCTTTGAGGGGAAGGCTTGGACACTGACAAAACACAAAAGTTTGTTTTGAATCTGTGGATCTTCAGTGGATTCAAACTCTGTGTGCAACTTTGTGCGTGTGGATGAACCTTGGAGGGTATCCTTTTGTGAGCTGGTAATTGAATGGATTTTAAGAGGGCAATTGGTTGGTTAGTTGGTCATAAACTCATTCCTAAAGTTTGTTGTAATTTAACAGCTTGGGAATATATATGATAAGTACTATCGAGCACAGTTAAGACGTTAAGACTTTTGGGTATGGTGATGTTGGCTAAAAAGAATACGCAGGGATGAAGGTTTTGTTCCTGTACGAACGGTAGTGCTGTGTCGTATTCATCTACTTCGTACGTTCGGTGTCGTGGTGGTTTGACAAAAGTCTAGAAGCAAATTTATTTGAAGCTACAATTTAATGAACAGTATTATTAGATAAAAAGTAACATCTTAACTATTGATAATAACTACTGATACTGAAGTTTTACTGGTATTGTTCTTTTAACTATATCTATGTTTACAAATCGAGTATAATGGTAGTAATCGTAAAATTAAGACAACCTACAAAGAGTAAACAATTTTACTTAATTAAAGAGAATTCGAACTTCACCTGTTCTACACATAAATCTTACTGCTAATGGCACATGGTTTAGCCGTTGGTACCGTGGTACGGAGTGGCTGATACTGATACAAAGTTAACAAAAAGATAAGCAGGTCTAAATGCCCTCTCTCGAACGTTCGTCTCAGGGGATCCCCAGAGCTTTATTGGGGCGTCAATGCAAGATGCTGACGCGTAAATCCACTTTACCGATGGAGATTTGGGGTACTATTTAGTAGTAGCTTTCTCGGGGATTATTATTGGTCTTTCATTATGTAGCACATAGGGGCCCAATGCAACCTCTAATTTTATTTTCTTTTCCTTTTTCCATTTGATGGCTTGATGATGCTGTAGCGTCACAGCTCACAAATTTGCTTCACGTTAATTTATTGCAGCCGTGCCGCAGCGAAATTCCGTGTGCAATCAACATGAATTTATTTTTGAAAATATTCTTTAAGAAATTAATGTCATGTATCTCTTTATCTTTTGGCGAATGGTTTGCTTTTGCTTTTGATATCAAACGTGTCGTTAACTTGTTCGGAACTTTCAACTTTTGTCATCGATCTTTCACTAAACAGAAAGGGTATGGTTATTGTCGGCTGTGCGGCAATTAATCTGTTGTGTATCGTGGAAATGTCGTAATGCAATGATTTTCAGATATCATATACTCATATATCTGATCTAGTTACACTAATCTTCCACAAGTCTATTGTTAGCTATTCTGAAAACAAAAAGGTTGTTGCTGATTCCTTAACCAAGCACAAGCTAATAAGCTATATCTTTTGTTGATGTCCTGAAGTTATCTTAGTATTATGTGTTTGTTCTAGGTGCGTTCGTTTCTGGGGGATTGGGTGAAAAAGGGACATCGTTTTCCGCGCGCATGATTTCCAAATTACGAAACGGTGTGTTTTTTATAAAAATTTTCTATAGGAAAGTTACTTTAAAAAATCATATTAATCCATTTTTAAAGTTTAAAATAGTTAATACTCAATTAATTATGTGCTAATGGCTCACCTCGTTTTGCGTATCTTTCCAATCTTTTCTATCTCCTTCTCCTCAAACAGAGCCTTAACATCATTGATGTTTGCAAGTCGTCATCTAGATGTGTTGCCCGGGCCATTGTTACTGATATTACAAATTAATATTGAAAATTCTAATAACATGTTAAAAGTATATATTTTTTTGTGATGGTTTAAATTAAAAGGAAGATTCTATGTCAATAACAACTTGTTAATTATTAATTTGGAGTTTTAGAATTAAATTGAGTGTCCAAGATGTGTACAACTCCATTTATTTATTAATTCTAAAATTTATAATTATTACATTTTAGAAATGCTAAAAAATGAATTCATTGTATTCCCAATATATAACATGTTTGATTTAACACTGATTATTCTAAATACAATATATGGTCATGATAGTATAACATGTCTAATTCACTAAGAATACCATTTTGACAGATACATCATCCTTACTTTAACAAACATACTAAAATAATGTATCCTTGTGAGAATGCATAGGACTCCTCCAGTCAAGGCACGCTTGTAAAAATTAATTTACTGGTTGTCTTAGGATACCTGCATGTGAAAATAACACTAACTTTGCCGGCGGTGTTTTTATGGACCCATGAACACCGACACACTCATGCACCGACGTTAAAAACATTTTCATAGGCTAAAATTTTTTTACTCCCTCCATAGCTCCTGTCCTTTTTATTTGACACCAAATACTATTCATATATAAACTTGGATATCTCATCTTTCTTTCAAAAGGTTTATAAATGCTTAAGAAGATATCATATTATTGTTCAAGTACTTTGCATGACAAATATAACTACACTATTTGCTTTCATCAAAACATCGTAATTTCAAAAGTTTTTATCAGTAAACAAGTCAAACTAGTCAACCGTATCAATTTAAAAGGAACTTAGGGAGTATTAATTTTAGAAGGAAGAAGGACATTTATCCATTACACGTACGTATACATATAGCCCATAAAGAACTGGAAATCTAATCCAAAAGACCATAGTACTGCATTCTCTGGTCTGTTTTCTCCATGATTGAATCTGCTTGTTTGATGACATAGGCTGTGTTTAGATTAGAGGTGAAAAGTTTTTGCGTGACATCAGATATACGGACACACATTTGAAGTATTAAATATAGACTAATAACAAAACAAATTGCAGATTCCGCCTATAAACTGCGAGACGAATTTATTAAGTATAATTAATCCGTCCTTAGCAAATGTTTACTGTAGTACCATATTGTTAGATCATGGAGCAATTAGGTTTAAAAGATTCGTCTCGTAAATTAGTCGTAATATATGTAACTAGTTATTTTTTAGCCTATATTTAATGCTTTATATAGGTGTTCAAATATTTGATGTGATAGGGTGAAAAATTTTAATGTGGAATCTAAACAGGGGTGATAAAACAAATCATTAGAACCGGACAAGCAGAACACTAACAAATCCCATCGCCATCCTCATCTCTGCAACTGCAGGCCGGGCGTGTAGAATGATTGATCAATCGTTCGTTGCATCTCATACGGAGTACGTGTGAGATGCACACACGTGCAGCTAACTTATCCCAAGCCAAAACCGCAACTGCCAATATTTTATCGCTTCAGCAATCTTCTTATATATATCAAGCCTGGCATTAAGATGATTTAGAGAATATTAGGAGGTACTCATCACAAGCTTTTGATTAATCAGCTGTTGCTTGGTATATGGCGTGACGTCGTTTTCACGAGCCGTAACGATCGAGCAGCTTGTGTGATGTGAGTAGTCTAGTATTTGTTCCCAAGTTGCGTGCGACCACTGATCACTAAATCATCAGTGGTCAGTGTGTGATCAGTTGCTTGGGGAACCAATGCATATATACCTCCTGCGCAAGTACAAACACTACCCGCATATTCAAGCAGTGGTACCTAATGAAACCAGCTAATTAAAAAACATGGTTTAATTAGGTATAACATTGACAGATATGCTCGAGGTGGTCGATCGATTGTTAGGTCTCTTGAGGGGAAACGATCATCAATGTTAAAGAAAAAATGCTAGTTGGCAAAATGATCCTTAAGATCGATTGAAACATATTTGTGACAATAACCAACTTTATTTACTTTACTAGATCTTGAATTTTTGCCTTCTGGATCAATCTGGTTGTCAATTGCTATTGGCAATAATTTGTTCTGTCTTTAATTATACTATTTCACCTATTCATTTTTCATACATGCCAGATAATTTAGCAAAGGTCTGGGATCATATTAAAACAGATTAGTGAACGGATTGTTCTTACAGATTATCCACTTGTATAAACCAAGTATTTTAATAAATAAACTTAATAAATAATTTAAAATAAGTGGTCTACAATACGGTAGAGGAAACTTTTTTGATAAAATGTATATTTGAAACGTGGAGCAACTAATTTGAAAAAGCTAAGACCCTATTTAGATGGGACTGAAACTTTTAAGTCTCTATCACATCGGATGTTTGGACACTAATTATAAATATTAAACGTAGACTATTAATAAAACCCATCCATAATCTTGGACTAATTTGCGAGACGAATCTATTGAGCCTAATTAATCCATGATTAGCCTATGTGATGCTACAATAAACATTCTCTAATTATAGATTAATTAGGCTTAAAAAATTATCTCGCAAATTAGCTTTCATTTATGTAATTAATTTTGTAAGCAGTTTATATTTAATACTCTAAATTAGTGTCTAAATACAGAGGCTAAAGTTAAGTACCTGATCCAAACACCACCTAAGCCTGGGCTCTTGATGTCTAGCTATGATGAAAAAATTATTTTACACATATACATCTTCCATTGCAGCAGCAACAACAACAATAATAAAATTTTACTCGTAGTCGGCCCTGCACCCTATTCATAGCTAGCTGATTTTGAGTCTCAAATGGAGACACGATGAGAAAACAGTCTTTTCATCATTGAGATTATCAGATTATTAGCAAGGCTTTTTTTTCCCTGAGTCGTCTTACACTGTTACTAACGTAACTTAACGTAAAGGTGCGTCCTAGAACCATTTTAACCCCAAAAGCTATCTTAAAAGGACTGATTTAGACAAAAAAAAAATGCTGTAGTAAAATTCAAGGACCAAAGTAACACCCAGGACTAGGGATGGAAATAGGGCGCGACGGGCACGGGTAGTGTCTACCCATACCCATGCCCATGAGATTATTTGTGCCCGTGGGTATACTCATTACTACATGACGGGTAAGGATGGTTGCTCATGCCCATTGCCCGCGGGCGCCTTGTGCCCGCGGGCGTGCCTGTTTACCCGCCACAACAAAAGCAGTGGAACAAAAAGTCTACAAGCTTCTAAGTTTGAATTGAACTTAAAA